ATCTCGGCTCACTGCAACCTCCGCCTCCCAGATTCAGGTGATTTTCCTGCCACAGCCTCCCTAGTAGCTGGGATTACAGGTGTCTGTCACCAGGCCTGGCTACTTTTCGTATTTTTAGTAGAGACGGTGTTTTGCCATGTTGACCAGGCTGGTCTTGAACTCCTGATCTCAGGTGATCCACCCGTTTTGGCCTCCCAAAATGCTAGGATTACAGGTGTGAGCCACCATGCATGGCCTGTTGTAAACATTTTAAAGCATGTCCTTCTCTTTCACTTTCTTCCTCTTTCTTTTTCCTATCCTGTCTCCTTCCTGTCCTCCTCCTCCTCTTCCTCCATATTTTACTGTTTTTTTGTTTTTAATGAGCTCAAACTAAATATATATTATTTTCTAACTGGCTTGTCCATTTCACATGGCAAAATTTTTACATTATTTGATGTTCTTCAATAGCATGACTGCTAACGGCTGCTAATATTATTCCTTTGAGTGGAAATATCAGTTTCTTTCAATGATCACCTACTACGGACACTGCGATTGTTTCCAATCATTTTACCCCTTGTGAGTTTCAGTTGCAAGTGATGAAGATTATACTGTCTGGATTCAAACAGCTTGGTTCAAACCAGCTTCCTCACCTATAAAATGAAATGGGCATAATAATTTTCCTCCTTGGATGAGTATGAGGATTAAATAATGAGGTCTGAATCCATGGAAAGGCTTTTACAAGGTATTTGGCACATAATAGGTGTTCAGTGAAGTTTTGCTGTTAGCAGCACCTTCCTGGCACGTGCTGTTTTTTCTGTTGTAGTTTGTTGGACTCTTTGGAAAAGCATGAATTTGAGTGTGTGTGTGTTTTCCTCACCATGGCCACACCCTCCTCATAACCCCTATCTCAGTTGGTTGAGAAGGGCCTGTTTGCTCTGCTCCTTAACTATTCAGAGTGAGGACAGAGTTTCTAGCTAGGTTGGTGAGTCCTGGACTTGGTTTAGGGGCCATAGGAAGAGGATCACAAGGAAATGTCAGCGTCTCCCTCCACTTGGGAAAACTGCCTCTCCCTTTTTGTGTCCAGGACTCATTGCTAGAGCTGGGGTTGAGATTGTGGAAGCTGTGGATGAGGAAGATTAAACTCAGTCCTGCCGGGAGCAGGTCATATGGGTGTTTCACGGAAAAGGCAAGGCCATTTATTTGTGAACAGTTACCCTGTGCCAGCTGGGCACTGGGGCCAAGAACTCTAGGCACATAGTCTCATTTGTCATCCCAAGAATCCTGTAATTATTGGCCCATGTTACAGATGTGGAATCTGGGATTCAGAGAGGTTAAGTGGCTTGCCCAAGGTCACACAGCTTCCAAGGGAGAACATGGAGTTCTCTGTTTGCCCACAATGCCCGTGTGCCTTAACACCTGTGCCCTGCAGCCTCCCATCAGCATGGCATTTCTGCCTGTGTGGGCAAATGGCATGAAGAATCCAGGAGGGTTAGCATTAGGAGATAATCTCTGATAACCTCAGAGATAATCGCATTAAGCCCAGGTTCCAAAGCTCAGAGAAAGGAAGGTGCTTGTTCCTGAGCACTCAGGCTGGAACTTGGGTCTCTGCTTCCTAAGCAAGGCTTTACCACTTCTTCTAGGTTCACTCCTGAAACCCTCACCTGCCTCCTCTCTCCCCCAGACTCCCTGTGGAATTTTCTTTTTTTTTTTTGAAGGCAGAGTCTCACTGTGTTGCCTAGACTGGAGTATAGTGACATGATCTTGGTTCACTGCAACCTCTGCCTTCCAGGATCAAGTGATTTTTGTGCCTCAGGCTCCCAATTAGCTGGAATTAGAGGCGTGTACCACCACTTCTGGCTAATTTTTGTATTTTTAGTAGAGATGGGGTTTCACCATGTTGGCCAGGCTGGTCTCGAACTCCTGACCCTAAGTGATCTGCCCGCCTTGGCCTCCCAAAGCACTGGGATTACAGGTGCAAGCCACCGAACGCAGCATCCCTGTGAATTTTAACTATGGGGTAAATGCAGCATCCTGGGCAGGAAGGAGTGGGTTACCTTGTGGTAGGTTTTCATTTCTTTTCCAGGGAAGGGAGGCAGGGAGCTCAAAGAGTGACTGAGGATGGAGTAACACAGCTGTCAGCCCCCAGGGCTCCTGAAGTTCTAGCTCCTGGTTTCCACTAGGATGGCAGAGAAGCCTGGTAACCTCCCCCCCCCCCCCCCGCCATTGACCATGTCTGTGCTCCTGGGGACATGGTGTGAGGGGGTGACTGTCCAGGATTCATTACGTCAGCAAGTGTGGCCTAGCCCAGTCCAGGGGTATGTCCTGGGCTGCACCTGAAGACTTAAAGAGCCGCCTTCCAGATTGGTTAATATGCTTGCACTTAAGGGGGGGCTCAGAAATGGTTGTGGAGGGAGGTTGTGAGGGAGGGATGGTTGAGTGGGCGATGAGGAAGCAGTGAGGCGATGAGGAAGTAGGTGAGAAATGGCTCCTGTGGGGTTGGAACGTCATGAGCCAGACACTGGAGGGAGTAAATGGCTGAAGGTGATCTGGGCTCTGTGGGAAGGCTGGCAGGGCTCTGCAGATGCAGCCACGCGCACGCCTGTTGCTGGTGAAAGTCGTCAAGCCCTGGCAGTGGGAGTCCGAGGTTTTTGTTGTTGCTTCTTTTCTGGGTGAACAGGAACTGATCTCTTCCCTTCTCCGGGCCTCACCGTCCTCACCTATACAATGGAATAGGACTCCTGTTCTGCCCACTTTGACATTCTGTTCTTGAGCATCTAGTACTCAAAAGAAGAAGAAAGCATTTTGGGAAACCAAAAGGCGCTGTGTGGAACCGGTGCCTCACCATACAATTAGAACACTGGCTTTGTGAATTGCAATTCATTGGTAATAAACTCCACTCTCGATTTTACTGTGCACAGATGTTAACTCTCTGTGAATTGCAATGCTGTGAGCAGCAAATTGGGTCATTAGGAGCCGGGTCTTTGTGTGTTTGAAACTGCTGCAGCTCATTAGCATTGTGACCTTGGGACAGCTGCTTGGGCTGTAGGGGCCTCTGTTTGCCCAGCTGTAAAATGGGGTTGTCACATCAGCCTCATTGGGTTGTTATGAGGGCTCTGAGTCAGGCTTGGGCAAATAGCTAGGTTCAGTGGATCATCCAGCATGTATTCATTGTATTTCTTTTTCTGTTTTTTGAGATGGAGTCCTGTTCTTGTCACTAGGCTAGAGCACAGTGGCATGATCTTGGCTCACTGAAATCTCTGCCACCCAGGTTCAAGCGATTCTCCTGCCTCAGTCTCCCGAGTAGCTAGGACTACAGGTACACACCACCACCATGCCTGGCTAACTTTTGTTTTTTTAGTAGAGGTGAGGTTTCACCATGTTGGTCAGGCTGGTCTTGAACTCCTTACTTTGTGATCTGCCCTCCTCAGCCTCCCAAAGTGCTGGGATTATAGGCATGAGCCACTGCGCCCAGCCCTATTTATTGTATTTCTATTTTATATCAGGGTCTGTGTGCTGAGTCCTGGGGATATGATGATGAGAGCCTCACAGAGCTCCCAACTGAGTCAAGAGACAGATATTAGTCAAAGAAGCACATATGAAATATAGTTCCAAATGGTGAGTCCCCCAGGAGGGCACTCTGGAGCTGAAGTCTGCAGGTTGCCTACAAGTTAACAGGGAAAAGAAGTGGGACTGGGTGAGCAGAGGAGCAGGGCACATCTGTTCCAGGAGGAGCAAGGAGGCCTGTGTGGCAGGAGCATGCTAAGCAAGGGCAGAGAGGGTGGCAGGAGAAGAGGCTGGAGCAGCGGCCAGCCCATGGAGTTTCATCTTCTTTCTCAAAGCCATGGCAAGTTTGGAAACTTCTATCTTGAAGATCCCATCGGTGCAGTGTGGGGAATGGATTGGTGGACCCTAGAGCTTTCCAGGCAAGGCCCATCCAGGGACCCATGTGGGGATACAGAAATGGAGACAGATTCCGGTGAAATTTAGGAAATGAAATCACTAGGAGTTGATGATGGGTTGGTTACAGGATATAAGGGAAAGGGAAGCATCCAGGATGACAACTGATTCTGAGTATGTACCTGGATGAAAGATGGGCCAAACTAAGGAGGGGTGGGCTTGGAGGGTGGTAATACTAGGAGCTCAGTCTTAGACATGCTGCTTCGGTTTGGTAGAATTTGGCCTGTGAGTGGGGACCGTGATCTAAGAGAGGGTGCTGCAGCTGGGTGTGGTGGCTCACGCCTGTAATCCTAGCACTTTGGGAGGCTGAGGCAAGCAGATCACCTAAGGTCAGGAGATCGAGACCATCCTGGCTAACATGGTGAAACCCTGTCTCTATTAAAAATACAAAAAAATCAGCCGGGCGTGGTGGCACACACCTGCAATCCCAGCTACTTGGGAGGCCCAGGCAGAAGCATCACTTGAACCCAGGAGGTGGAGGCTGCAGTAAGCCTAGATTTCGTCATTACTCTCCAGCCTGGGCAACAAGAGCAAAACTCCAGCTCAACAAAAAAGGGTGGAGGCAGGCACTGCCTGAGCAAAGGCAGGGAGATTTGGTCGGGCTTGGGGGTGCAAGGAAATGGAATGCACTGCACCGGAGGCGGTTCTTCTTGGTGTTATGTGGCTGCCCCTAAGATGGGTTTGGGGTTATCCGTGGGCCACAGGCATGCCCAGCAACGGCAGCCATCTGGTGCTGCCTGCGTTAATGACCAGGGAGGGAGGGTGAGTGAGTGACGGAGTGTCAGGGGAGCCCGCCCCTCACACAATGGCACACATGGCCACCAGAGCTGGCAGGGAGGCGTCTGATTAGCATTTGGCTCTGCTCAATAAGGGGCTGGGGGCTGCAAGGAGAGCCCTGACACCCAGATGTGGGTAAAAGGCAGGGAAGGGGATAAAGGGGTGGGTGGTCACCAGGATGAGGGCTCCTGGTTCTAGCCCTGGCTCTGCCAGTTACTTACAAGCTGACCGTGGGAAAGTCCACTCATTAGTGAATTCATCCACTGATGGAACACATCCATCAGCCATAAACAGAGTGGCAGGCTTCGAGGAGACCAGAGACTTAGACCTAAGTAGCAGCAGTAGTTGTAGCAAAAACAAAAGAGCTGAATACATGACTGTGTTCTGGGTCCCCTGCTCTGCCTTCGCTAGCGTCACCTCATCAAATCTTTACAGCAGCCCCTGTGGGGTGGCTACTCTTTTTATCCCTATTTTACAGATGAAGAAACTGAGGCCTAGAGAGGTGAAGCCTCAAAGATCAGAGCCAGCAGGAGAGGGGGCTGGGATTTGAACCCAGGTCCACGCTGACTCGAAGATTTTTTCCATCCTACATGAGTGGTTCCCAAATCTGGCTGCTTATCAGAACTACCTGGAGGGCTTTTTGAACAATACAGAGGCCTGATTTTTTGTTCCTTTTTCCTTTTGTTTCCTGACACAGAGTCTCTGGGTCCTGGGTGGGGCCAGTGTTGAGAGCCTCTCGTGCTCCTTTGCCCCCTCTTCTGCAAAGCTCCTGCCTCTCCCGCTTGGCTTGCTCTGCCCCGGGTGCACAGGCCTTGCTGTTCTCAGGGAAAGCCTGCTGGCTCCCCCACCTTTGCTTACACTTGCCCTCCCAGAACACTCAGCCCAGCCCTTCTTGTGGCTTGCTCTTGCCCCCTCTTCTTTCCAGTGCCTTGTTTAAATGTCACCTCCTCATAGAGACCTTCCCGACCATCCCATAACCCTTCTCCTCCAACCTATTACTCTTGCTCCCGTGGGTTCTCTACCAGTGCCAGTCACCTGGGACACTTAAAATCTCTGATGCCCAGAGACTGACTCTGTTGGCCCAGGGTGAGCCCCAGGCTTCAGTGCTGCCTGGCCTGGGACATGGATGGTCACTGAGTCTTACTGCTCACCGCTCTCCCCTTGACATTATACATGTGCTTGGTTATTGTCCGTGTCTCTGCTAGAGTGGAGAGCAGGGACCTGGTCTCTGCTGTATGCCCAGCACCTTCAAAAGCACCTGGCTCACAGTAGGAGCTCAGGGAGTACCTATGAGTGAAGGAATGGGATGGTGGGGCTTGAGAAAAGGCAGCTTTGATTGACTGTCAGGATCGATCTGTTCCCAACATCTGGTGAACCCTTGGAGGGTTCTTCCCGCAGGAAACTTTTACCTCATCTGTCAGTATCACGCCTCCATGCTGTCCGGAACGTCCCACTCTGACTGCAGGACCACCTCCGGGCGAGGACAGTGGCTTGAGATGGCAGGAATCACCATGGCCTCCCTGAGATTCAGGCTGCACATTGGCAGAGTCAGAGCTGGAAGGGCAGGAGTGGGGTCGAGTCGGACCTCTCGCTGTGCAGATGGGCCCTGAGGCCTAGTGAGGGAAGGAGCTTCGGTCACAGTCAGGCCCTGGTTGAAGAGGGCCTAGAGGGCAGGAGCTACAGCATCCTGTGTGACCTCGGCCAAGCCTCTGACCTTCTCTGTGCTTTAGTCTCCCCATCTGTACCTGCAGGGCCTGGGCTGAGATGATCCCAAGCCCAGGACATCAGGAGTTTGTTCCCTGAGTCCTTTTCTGGGCAGTGCAGACCTTCAGAGGGCTTGTAAGGGGTTAAGCTCCTCTGGCTCTGCTCTGCACGCAGACAAACCCCCTCCTTCTGACAAACACTTGTAGGAAATCAGGCTGAGCGCTTCCTGCTGAGGCAAGGCGAGGCGGCCTCAGCCGCGGCAGGGGCGGGGAGAGGTGGGGAGCGATGCTGGTGTGTGAGCAGCAGCCTGGGCTGGCAGAACGGCCTGGAGGCGGGCCAGGGCACAATGGAGGCAGGGGGCTCCCTGGGTTTGGAACAAAGACTTCAAAGGCAGGTCCCCTGAAACTGGGCCGGGAGGATCGTGGTGGAGCCCAGGAGAGGTAAGGGATCGGAACGGAGGAGGGCCCGGGAGGCCGCCTTCCTTCTGGACGGGCCAGTCACCGACTCTTTGGGACAGCCCAGGCAGCCGGACCAGCCCAGCCAGGAAGTTGCAGCTGCTGAAGCTGCATCGCTTTTCTCTTGATTCAGGGGAGCCCGCCCCCCCAGCCCCAGGGCAAGCGTGGATTTAAGGAGGATTTCATCAAGCCTCAAGATGCTAGATTCCAGTCCCAGCTCTGATACTGATCTCTTGTGAACTTGGACAGGCGGGTCCATCTCTGTGCCTGGGGTGTCCTCATCTGCACCAGGAGAGTTAGTGTCCTTGGTTGCTAAGGGGTCTCATAGACAATGCAGGGATAGGGAGCAGGCCAAGAGGCAGTGGCAGCACTATGGGGGGTTCCCCATCAAAGCAGTAGCCCCTTATGTCAGCTGTGTAAGGGCAAGGAGAGGAGCCAAAGATGGTCCAAGGACCAGCAGACCCAGCTCAGCTCTTGAGGATTGTGAGACCAGAGACAGGGCACTGTTTCTCTTTCTCCTCAGCCTCTGCTGCTGGAGCAGGCTAGGGGCAGGGAGGGGACACACAGAGGGGGAGTGGCTGGTGCTTTCTTGCGGGACTAGTGTCCACACAGCTGGTGGAACCCCTTGAGAAAAGCAGGTCTGTGCCAGCTGGGGGTGTGGGATGGCTAAGGCCAACAGCACAGCCTTTTTGGAAGGCCTGGTTACTGATATAGGGGGTCTTCTTTCCCCCTCTCCCTGCCCCCTACATTTCTGATAGTCTTGGTTTCAGAATTGGGACACCTGGGCTTTGAATCCTTCAGCTGCACTTCCTGGCTGTGAGGTCTTCTGAGAGCCTGCCACATCTCTGTGCCTCAGTTTCCTCATCTGGGAGGTATCGAGATGGGGGTGGGGGTTAGAAGCAGGGGTGCACCCTGGGCAGCCCTGGCTGGAGGGAAGGGATTGCAGAGGGCACGGGAGGCAGTGCGGACCGCGTGGCTGTGCTGGTGAAGGAGGACCTGGGAGTCTGGACCGTTCTGAGGGATCGAGCTATACAGGGAAGGGTTGCTGACTGTGGAGTGGCTGAGAGGGCAGAGAAGCCCTGTGCGGGTGGCGGGGAAGAGGAGTCCATCCACCCAGGAAATGAAGATAGACACTTTGGGGGTGTGTTAGACCCTTGAGAGAGCAGGGGCAGGGGCAGCATGGGGGTGAGGAGATGTACAGAAGGAGGGCAGAGTGGCTGCTACTTCCTGGGGGGCCAGTTTCTCCAGGTATGGCAGGAGCCCTGAGCTCCACAGCCCTCCCGGTGGGGACTTCATCCTATAGGAGCTGACCCTCCTGTGGTCAGCCCCCAGCTCACATGGCTGGAGTCTTCACCAAACCCCACTCACTGCCTTTGAGGAGCAGCCTTGCTGCCCTAAGGAAGGCTGGCTGAAACAACCCTGCCTTTTCTGGCATTCAGAGACCCCTGCTCATAGCTCTTCTTCAAGGTCAGGTCGTACTTTCAGACTTCCATGCCTTTGCCTATGCTGTTCCCTCTGCCCTCTGCCTGGAATGCCCTCCCCAATCTTCTCCCCCAAACCCTCATCATTTCTCAAGCCCAACTTAAAGCTTCCTGTAGTAACACTTCTGTATTGCACTAACTGCACCATTCAAAATTTTGGAACGCTTTTACTTTTTCTACATTCTTTGCATCTTATGTAGTGCCTGGTATGTAGTAGGAAGTCATAAGGCTTTTTTAAAAAGTTAATTTGCACCTGCCAGGTGCTTGGTATGTATCTTTGTAGTTTGAAATGTGACCTCAGGGAGGAGGAGAGAGGCTAACAGCTCTGAGGCTGTTGCCCTTAGGAGCTGAGTCAACCAGGGACTTCAGCATTTTTTGAGTTCCATCCCCTGCCTCCCAACCCACCCTAGCAGGGTGAGCAGGCGGTACTTTCTCTATTTTACCATGAGGGAAATGCAAGCCCAGCCATACACGGTGAGTGACAGCAGCCAGGACTAGCACCTGTCCCCTGATGCCCAGCCGGCTTCTCTATCACAGCATCATCCCTGTCGGAGGTTGGCAGGTAGTCAGCACTAGTGTGTGTTTGTTGACTAACTAGCTGACCGGCCAGTTCAGGGGCTCTTGTGGTGCTGAGGGCCGTGGCTCGCATGGAAGATGGAGGCCTTGCTCAGGAAAGGCTCACTGGTGTAGGCGCCTGGGGGCAAGTGCAAAACTCTAGCCAGTCACCGCAGCTGCCTGTGACGTGCACCTTCCCCTGGTTACAGTGAGATTTCTGCCACGACTGAGTCATCCCAGAAGACAGGATGTTCCTCTTTGTGCACCCAGAGGCCTCTGTGATTGGGCAGGCTGCTCTGTGGCAGAGCTAGAAAAAAAGCCCTTTAAAAAGTCAAAAACCACATACCTTCCCTGGCCCCTTCCCAGCAGAGGCTTCAGAAGCAGAAAAGCAGCTGCAAAACTGTAGCCCCTCCTCCACCTGCCGTAACTGGTAACTGCAGGAGCGAGAAGGCCTAGCGGACTTCAAAGGACAGGCCATGCTTGAGGCCCTGGTTTAAAATGCAGATTCCTGGGCCCTATCCCAGGGCCACTGAGTCAGGCTCTCTGCAGGTTGTTTCAGGAAACTACATGCTGAGAGGATTCTTAAGCACCCCGAAGCTTAAGATCCCTGGCAGGGATTTCCAAGAAGGGTACAGGCCCTGCAGAAGGTCTGAGAAGCAAGGATTAGAGCTTCTATTTAAAATACAGTTGACCAGCTGGGTGGGTGGCTCATGCCTGTAATCCCAGCACATAGGGAGGCTGAGGCAGGAGGATCACTTGAGCCCGGGAGTTCAAAACCAGCCTGGGCAAAATGGCAAAACCCCATCTCTACAAAAAGTTTTTCAGAATGAGCCAGGCATGGTGGTGTGTACCTTTGATCTTAGCTACTCAGGAGGCTGAGGATGGCTTGAGCCCAGGAGGTCAAGGCCACTGTAAGCTCTGATTGCTACTGTACTCCAACCTGGGTAACAGTGAGACCCTGTCTCAATAAAATAAAATATAAAATACAGTTGACCCTTAAACAACACAGGGGTTAGGGGTGCCAACCCTCATACAGTCAAAAATCTGCTTATAACTTTTTTTTTGAAACACAGTCTTGCTCTGCAGCCTAGGCTAGAGTGCTGAGGCACAGTCTCTGCTCACTGCAACCTCCGCCTTCTGGGTTCAAATGATTCTTCTGCCTTAGCCTCCTGAGTAGCTGGGATTACAGGTGTGCACCACCACACCCAGCTAATTTTTATATTTTTAGTAGAGACAGCATTTCACCGTGTTGGTCAGGCTGGTCTCCAACTCCTGACCTTGTAATCCGCCCCCCTCGGCTTCCCAAAGTGCCGGGATTATAGGTGTGAGCTACCGAACCCGGCCTGCTTAAAACTTTTAACTCCCCCAAAACTTTATTAATTACCTGCTATTGACCGGAAGCCTTGCTGATAACATATACAGTTGATTAATGCATATTTTATGTGCTATATGTATTATGTCCTGTTTTCTTAAGCCAGAGAAAAGAAAATATCATTAAGAAAATCCTAAGGAAGAGAAAATCTAATTGCTTTCATTAAATGGAAGTGGATTATCATAAAGGTCTTCATCCTTGTCATCTTCATGTTGAGGAGGAGGATTTAAGAGGAGGGATTGATCTACTGTCTTAGGGGTGGCAGAGGCAGAAGAAAATCCACATATAAGTAGACCTGTGCAGTTCAAACTGTGTCATTAAGGGTCACCTGTATTTATGTCCTTTTTCCTTTATATTTTTAGCAGAGACAGGCTTTTGCAATGTGGCCCAGGAACTCCCGAGCTAGAGCTTTCTGCCCTCCTTGGCCTCCCAAAGTGCTGGGATTGCAGGCGTGAGCCCCTGTGCCTGGCCAATTTTCTATTGTATCTTTTTAGAAAATCCCTTTTGAAATTATTCTTTCTAATACAGGTACCATATTAGCATGATATATTCAAGCAAATACATTTTTACTGATGGGTTGTATGATTAAAAAAAATATTAGGGGGCCACTAGGCCAAAATTGACAGTAGCAAGTCTTGCTTTGGCAGGACATAGCTGAGTGATCTTAGCCAAGTTCTACCCTCATGTTTGTAGGGAGGGCAGATTCTGAACTTACAGGTACAATTTCTAGCCAGGCTGGGGCCGAGTGGGCTTATTGTGGTGGGGACTATGGGGCTGGAGGATGATACACAGGGCGATCTGGAGGAAATTCTGGGGCTCTACATTTGGGGGTAGAGAGGAAGACTGGGTGGGAACAGAGGATAGAAGCCCGAACACCCATCCACGGAGCAGGAGTCACAGCCAAGGAGGGAAGAAGGGGGTTCCCTGTCCCTCCCTCCTCCAGCCCTTGAGAAGTCAGCCTTTCCTGGGCTGCTCTGTTCCCTGGGGAACTTTGTGTCCAAAAATAGTTGCCTGCTGACTTTTCTCAACCACACAAATCAAGCAGGATCCAAAGGCTCACGAGGATAAAGGGACAAACACAGACTTTCTGTCCTGGGAGGCCTGGAGTCATACTGCCCTCCACACAGCATGCAGGGGAGAAAGCTCAGACTGTGGGCCAGGAGGCTCACTTTCACCCTTGCCTTGTGCAAGGCCTCTCCCCTCTCTGGACCTAAGTTTCCCCATCTGTGGAAGAAGGCCTTTGTAATGAGCTGCCCTGGGGGCCTGCTGTGCTGTTGGGCCATGGCCAGGAGCTCCCTGGGAGACCATGCCCAGGCTGGGACAGCTTTGCACTTCCTGGGCCTGGCTCAGTGCTTGGCATAGAGGAAGTGCTTGGGGAAATAGCAAGATAGTGGGAAAGAAGAGGCAAAAGGAGATGAGAGGGAGAAGGAGTGAGGGAAAGAAGGAGAGGATTGAGGGAAGGCAGTGGAGGAACCCTTCTCTGGCCACCCTGTTCCTGCAGCACTGCCTCGCAGGTCCCTGTGTAGCCAGGTTCCCCTGTTCATTCTCCCAGAGCTGCCCGATGGCAACAGGGAACTTTTAAACCACACCTCTGATGGGCTCTCCCTGTGTTCAATACCCCCGTCATCATCAGGGAAACCACTGCCAGGTCCAGGAAAGCCCCTGGCAGGCTTGCTCTCCACCCCCAGATCCTCTCACTTGGAAGGCTTTTTCTTGAAACTGAGGTGAAATTCATATAACATAGAACTGACCATGTTTAGGTGAACAGTTCAGCGACGTTGAGTACATTCAGTGCTGCGTAACTGCCACCTCTATCGAGTTGCAAAACATTTCCATCACTTTGAAAGGAAATCCCATACCCAGCAAGCAGGTAGTGCCACTCTCCTCTCCCCTGGCCCCTGGCAAATACCAATGTGCTTTCACTCTCCAAGGAGTTACCTTGTTACCTTGTCTGGACGTTTCCTATCCATAGAATCACACCCTCGGTGGCCTTGGTGTCTGGAGTCTTTCACTGAGCATCGTTGTTGAGGTTCATCTAGACTGTACCGTGTGTTGGGACTTAATTCCTTTTTGTTTGAGTGCCTGTTTTCAATTATGTTGGGTACTGGAATGCTACCTTGTTTTTTTTTTTTTTCTTTTGAGGCAGGATCTCACTTTGTCACCCAGGCTAGAGTGCAATAGTGCAGTCATGGCTCACTGCAGCCTCAACCTCCTGGGCTCAAATGATCCCCCCACTCAGTCTCTAGAGTAGCTGGGACTACAGGTGTGCACAGTCACACCTGGCTAATTTTTTGTAGAGACGAGGTTTCGCCATGTTGCCCAGGCTGGTCTCAAACTCCTAGACTCAAGTGATCTGCCCGCCTCAGCCTCCCAAAGTGATGCTGGGATTATAGGCGTGAGCCACCATACCTGGTCTGGAATGCCCTTTTCACCGTCTCCCCCCGCCCCACCTCTCAATCTGAATTCTTACCCGGGTGAGGGCAGAGATTCCCAGAGGAACTGGCTTCAAAACTGGCATCACCTGACTTTCCTGGCCTGTGTCGGGCAGCCCCCATGCCTCCTCCAGCACATCTCACCTGGATTTCTAGTTGCCTGGTGATGTGTCTGCTTCCTCCTGGGGCATCAGTTCTCCTGTGAGCAAGGCCCGTGCCCCATGCCCACACGCCAGAGCCAGTACTCAGTAACACTAGCTAGCGTGCATTGGCCTAGCAATCCCCCAATATTTTTTTTAATCACACAACCCATCAGTAAAAATATATTTGCTTGAACATGCCATGCTAATTTATTACATGTATTAAAAAGAATATTTTCAAAAATGATTTTCTAAAAAGATGCAATAGAAAATTGGCCAGACACTGAATAGAAAATTGGTGTGTACACTGGCCGCTGGACTCCTCATCCTGTGTCTCATTTGGTTTATAAAACCCTGGAAGAAGAGAGGAATTATTATTCCAGCTTTATTGATGAAGAGAATGAAGGTAGAGTGACTTGCCCAAGGTCACGTAGCTTCGGGAGGACGTAGCCAGGAGTTGAACCAGGGCTGTCTAATTCCAGAGTTCCTGCTGCAAACTTCTTGTTCTGAATAAAAGAGGGAATCAGGATTGATTAATGTTATCCCTTGAATGTGTCCCTGACAGGGCACAGGCAGGATGGCCAATGCTGATAGGAGCCAGCGGTGACTCTGGGGCCCCCCGGCGGCAGCTCTTTCTTCTGAAGATGAAGTGGCCTAGGTGAAGCCCAGGCCAGTCCCGATGGCCAGCTCGGGGACTGAGATCCACTGGGCTGAGCCTGGTTTGGGGAAGGGCCCCCAGCGGCGGCGCTGGGCCTGGGCCGAGGACAAGAGGGACGTGGATAGAAGTGGTTCACAAAGCTGGGGAGAAGAGGGACTCTTTCCCAATGCCACCAGCCCCGAGCTCCTGGAGGACTTCCGCCTGGCCCAGCAGCACCAGCCGCCCCTGGAGTGGAACCCACACCCGCAGCCTGATGGGCATCAGGATTCCGAGTCAGGAGAGACTTCTGGAGCAGGTGAGACTGACCCCTCACCTCCAACAGTGGTGTCCTGCCCCCGAGACATCGCACTTTCTAGCAGAAGGGAACGGAGTGGAGGCTCCTTCAACATTTTAAATTAAATTCTACGAAGTCTATCATTTAACATTTTTTAAGATTTAAATTGTATAAATAATACCATTGATTGCAGGACAATCAGAAAATATAAGACACAAATTAGGTAAAATTTAAAATTATCCATCCCCAGATCACCACTGTTTTCCATATGTATAGATATGCAAATGTAACATGAATATGGAACAGTATTCTACAGACTTCATTGTAACCTGCTTTTTTGTTAACTTAATAGATGTGAACATTTTTCTAGCTCATCAGATCCTCTCCCACAAGTCATTCCTAGACTTCCATGGTATAGATATTCCGTGGTTAATTGGCCTGTCTCCTATCGCTGGACATTGTAACAGTTTCTAGTTTTTGCTATTATAAATAATGCAGAGGTGAATGTCACTAATATATCTTTGGTAATTTGAATTACTTAGTACCAGGGTTATGTCCAGGTTGGATTTTTTTTTTTTTTTTTTTTTAGGCAGAGTCTTGCTCTGTTGCCCAGGCTGGAGTGCAGTGGCAGGATCAGGGCTCGCTGCAGCCTCGACCTTTCAGACTCTATCAATCCTCAGAACTCCGCCTCCCAAATTGCCACCACACCCGGCTAATTTTTGTATTTTTTGTAGAGACAGGGTCTCACAGTGTTACCCAGGCTGGTCTCAAACTCTTGGCCTGAAGCGAGCCTCTCACCTTGGCCTCCCGAAATGTTGGGATTACAAATGTGAGCCGTCATGTCTGGCCATTTTTAAGATTTTTAAAAATCCCAATCAGCAGTGAGACTGTTGAGATTTCTTGTTTTCTACAATAACTGTGTTCTGGTTGCATGCAGACCAACTTAAACTGAATCCCTAGTGTTGCTTAGCAAGTTCCTTCTGTGTGAATCTTGCTTTTTCCTTCTATAAAATGAGAGGAATAATATCGTGGAGAATAGTAAGAGCTTGATACAAGGTGGCTATTGCACTTAGATTATGGGCAAGATGCTGCTGTTTTAGGGTCCTGTGACTCCTGCAGGCCGATGTGGATTGCATCATTACTCAAAGTTTTACACACCTGATCTGCTCAAAATGGGCATTGCCCACTGCTGCCCACTCAGGAGCCATTTCTGAGCTCTCTCTCCAGCAGGGGATGGTGAGTGAAATGCACTGGGCCTGACAGGGCAGAGGCATCTCTTCCTGGGGCCACATGGTAACCCCTGCTATGATATAACAGCTGCTACCCTATCCTGTGCCTTTACTATGTGCCAGGCACAGGGCTGGGCAGGGTCAAACCCTCTCTTGTTCCCTCCTCACCACCCTCTGTCAGGTAGGAGGAACTAGCCTCAAGTTTGACTATGGACCAGAGAGTTCAACAATTTGCCTATGGCCCTGGTGAGGGGTCCTAGAAGCCAGGACTGAACCCAGAGCTCCCTGGCTTCAAAGCCCAGGCCCTCCACCCCTAGAGTATGACCCCTAGTGGTGGAAGCAAACGCACCTGCATGGTTGGGGCCTGGGTCCTAAGTCCAGGGAAGCACTGGTTGATCATTGGCAACTTACGTAATGTTCAGGTGTGCTGCTGTAAGCAAGAGTAACCTGCTGGAGGAGCTGTTACGTGGTTAAGGGACACAGAGGCATCAAGGGTAGGGGAAGACCACGGAGGAGCAGAGAGTGAGACAATGGTGCGTCGGCCTGAACAGAGAGGCTATGCCTGGTGGTACCCAAACTGTGTCTCATGAAACTTTGGACCTATCCCAGAGGCTAACCCCAGGGTCCAGAGCAGAGTGGGTGCCCCAGAAACAGTGACAGCATGGATGGTGGTTAGATGCATGGATGAATGGACAGGTGGGTGAGGTGGGTGGTGGGTGATGGGTGGGTGAATGGGTGGGTAGATGATGGATGGATGTTGGAAGGATGGTGGGATAGATGGGTGGGTGGTGGTTGGGTGAATGGGTGGGTAGATGATGGATGGATGTCGGAAGGATGGTGGGATAGATGGGTGGGTGGATGGATAAATAGTTCTTGAGTACCCACTCTGTAATAATTACAATAACTGTCTACTTCCTGGGAGTTTTATATACCTTATCTTCCTCCCTCCCTCCCTCCTTCCTTCCCTTCCTTCCTTGCTGAGCCTGCTTTTCTCCTTCCTTCTGTTTGGTCAACAAATAGTGCCCGGTATCAGCACTGCAAATGCAATTGTAAACAAAAACAGACAGCATCCTTGCCTTCCTAGAGCTTGCAGTTTAGTGGGGGAGACAAATGTCAGTGAAACATAAATGGAAAACTGTTGCTATGATAAGTGGTACAAAGTAGAGGTAGCCAGTCCTATGAGGACCTGTAAAAGGGAGAACTTAACCTCGTCAAGATCTAAGACTTCCTTGAGGAGGCCGAGGTTGAGCGAATGCCTGCAGGACAGATAGGAGTTAACTAGGCCAAGGAGGGGAGAGAATCCCCTGCAGAGGGAGGTGCACACTTGTAGCCCCCGTGGTGGGAGGAGCATGGTGTGCACAGAGCAGGAGTAGGGGGAGCTTGAGGGGGCTACGGAGAGAGATGGATCAGGAGAGCTAATGGGACTGGAGTGGCAGGACCTTAGGACCATAGGGAAGGTTCTGCTTTTCTTCCACAGGAAGACATGGATGAGTTTTCAGATGGGGATGCAGGTGAGGATGGAGGAGATGATTAGGTGGCTACTGACTGCAGCTGGCCGGACAAGAGAGAATGGGGCGCCAGCCAAGGCAGCAGTAGTGGACCTCAGAGCAGTAGATGAGTTTGCGATTTTTACAGGAGGTAATGGGGCAAGACCAGGTGACAGATTAGATCCAGGGGATTAGAGGGAGAGAGATGGCAAAGATGCATCTCAGGCTTCTGGCTTGTACGCCTGGAGGGGATGGTGGTGTCGTCTGCTGAGATGGAAGACACTGGAGGCACTGCTCACTAGGTTTGGGTTTGAGTTTGAGTTGGAAGGACCTCTGAGCAACCAGAGAGAGTATCAGACAAGCACTCGGCTGTGTGCGGGGCTCCTTGGGATTCCTTCCATCCCCATGTGATGAGGAAACGGAAGCCAGAGAGTCGAAATGACTCAGGGCAAGTTACATGGTGGGTGCAGACCTGGTATATGCTAAGAAGTGAATGGCCTGTCTTTCCAGAGGCTGAAGCAGAGGATGCAGACAGCCCAGCAATTTCCCACGAGCCCCTCGCCTGGCTCCCCCCGCAGGGCCATCAGCTGGAAATGACTGAGGAGGAGCCAGACGGGACCCTCGGAAGTCCGGAGGTGGAGGATGCTGGAGAGAGCTGCCCGAGGTTGGGGTATGAGGCTGGTCTCAGCTTGGAGGGCCATGGAAACACCAGCCCCATGGCTCTTGGGCAGGGTCAGGTCAGGGGCTGGGTGGCTTCTGGCGAACAAGCCGGTGGAGACAAACTTTCTGAACACTCCGAGGTCAACCCATCCATTGAGCTCAGCCCGGCAAGGTCCTGGAGCAGTGGGACTGTGAGCCTCGACCACCCTAGTGACAGCCTAGATTCCACTTGGGAAGGAGAGATCGATGGCTCCCCACCCACTGCCCTGGCAGAAACCTTGCCAGAGAGCCCCAGCTACCACCTTTTAAACCCAGATGACAGAACTGGAGGCAGCGTTGCTCAGGCAACCCCCATAGAATTCCAGGACTCCTCGGCTCCCCCAGCCCAGAGTCCACAGCGTGCCACAGATAGATGGAGGAGAGAAACGACCAGATTCGCCTGCCCTCAGCCCAAGGAACACATCTGGAAGCCGACAAAGACATCACCTAAGCCACTCCCTTCCCGATTCATTGGCTCCATCAGCCCCCTGAATCCTCAGCCCAGGCCAATCCGGCAGGGCAGGCTGCTGCCCAGACAGGGAGCCACTCTGGCTGGCCGATCCTCTTCTAATGCCCCCAAGTATGGCCGGGGACAGTTGAACTACCCACTCCCTGATTTTTCCAAGGTAGGGCCCCGGGTGAGATTCCCCAAAGATGAGAGCTACCATCCCCCCAAGTCTAGAAGCCACAACAGGCAGCCTCAGGCCCCTGCCCGGCCCCTCATCTTCAAGTCACCAGCCGAGATTGTGCAGGAGGTGCTGCTGAGCAGTGGAGAAGCCGCCCCGGGGAAGGACATGCCTCCTGCCCATCCCATCACCAGGGTACCACAAGAATTTCAGACGCCTGAGCAAGCCACTGAGCTGGTTCATCAGCTCCAGGTTAGTGAGACTCATGGCTGTGGGTGTGTTACCAAGGCCCCTGTTGGCTTGGGGTGTAGGCTAATTGGGGTGGGGAGGCCTGGGATAGAGGCTGACTGGGATGGGGAAGCTGGAGTGGAGGCTAGTTGAGCTGGGGAGGCCTGGGGTGGAGGCCAGCTGGGGTAGGGAGGCCTGGAGTAGAGGCTGGCTGTGGTAGGGAGGCCTGGAGTAGAGGCTGGTTGTGGTGGGGAGGCCTGGGGTGGAGGCTGGCTGGGGTGGGGAGTCCTGAGATAGAGGCCAGTGGGATGGGGAGGCCTTGAGAGAGGCCAGTGGGGGTGAGGAGGCCTGGGTAGAGGCTGGCTGGGGTGGGAAGCCCTGGGGTGGAGGCTGGCTGAGGTGGTCTGGGGTAAAGGCTGGCTGGGGTGGGGAGGCCTGGGGTCTGGGCCAGGAACTCCCTGTTGGTAGAGGGAGAGTGTGCCTGGAGCCCCGAGATAGACCCAAGCCCTTTGCTCAGAAAGAGCAGGGATTGTACTTATGTTTCAAGGATGATCTGTTTATTTTCAACTTCTGCTTTGAAAAAATTAAAATATATACAAGAGAGAAAATCGTGGAATGCACTCCCATTACCTACCCCCTGGCATCCACAATCAGCAGCTCCCGAAAACCTTTCTCATCTGTGGCCTTACCTCTCCCCTCTTCACCCCCACTAGTTTATTTTGAAGCAAAATCTCGGGCATCCAATTATTTTATCTGAAAATATGTTAGTGTGTATATGTCTAAAGATAAAGACCTTATTTTAAACACAACCACATACCATTATCACCTAAATGTTAACACCAGATCCTTAAATATTAACAAATATCCAACCCACAGCCACACCTCTCCATGTCTCATAAATGGCTTATGGGGTCCGTTTGTGGGCCTCAGCATCCAAACATGGCTTGTATATTGCATTTGGTGCCTTTCAAGTCTCTCCTCCCCTTTTTTCGTTTTCTTTCTTTCTTTTTGCATTTATTTTTTCAAACCCCTCTTACTCTCTTAGTCTGCCCTCCTCCTTACGTCTGCCGTGCAATTCATTTGCTGAGGAAATCGGTCAGTCCAGTGGTCATCCACATTCTGGGCTTTGCTGATGTGCTGTGGTGTCTCCTCATGCGTCCCATTGTCCTCTTTTTCTTAAATATTGATAGGTTTCGAGCTAGAGGCTTTGGGGGGCTATAATTACCTGTTTATCTGAGTATTTCCCCTCCAGACCACGAGAGAGTTTTGGCAAGAGCACATCCCAGGTGGCTTGTGTGCCTTCTTCAGCAGGCACAGGATGCCTGCTGGCCTCTTGTCTGATTTTGACAGCCTCTGATGGTCACCATCTCCGTCCAGTCTTTCACGTGGAGGTGACAAAATGGTAGTATGCTAATGCTCTCACTCCTGCATTCATTGCTGGAAATATTCCAAAAGACAAAAATGTCCCTCATCAACTACTTGGTTACCACGTTCTTGTTTGTATGGGAAAGGCCAGCGAGAGGCTCCGTTCTGACCTTTTCCTGTTACCATTACTGACCCGTTTTGAGAAGGAGTCAGCTCCTCACATCCTCCAAAGGTGACTTGTTTTTCCTTTTTTCCTGCAATGACCTGTCTTCCTAAAGCTCGTTAGATTTGTTTAAGGCAGGTGACTCTGAGTGGGTGGAACAGTGATTTTCAAGTCTTCTGTTTCTCTGCCATGGGACTCCGGTGATGCATTCAATTAGCCATTGTAAAAAGTATTTCAGCACATACTGCTTGAGGACCGGAAGCCGTGGGGAAGACAGATAGGGGCCTCACCCCACAGAGGCGACAGGTGGGCAGGAAATTTGAAAGATGAAACAGTGACAGCCCTCTGCAATATGGGTTACATATCATGGTAAACCAGCCAGACGCCGTCGGTCTAGACTCGTTGTCAGGGGTTAGGAGCGTCATCCCACTGCCCTCTCATGCTCAGAACTTGAACATGGTGGGTCTGTGTTGCACACGAGCCTGAAGATTGCTCAGCTTGGATCCCACTGTGGAATGCTGTCCGTTCAGGAACCCAAAAGCCCTTGTGGAGGAGGGTTTGCTGCCAGGGTCCCCCAGCAAGGAGGGGTATGTTGTGTGCCCAGGCATGTGACGATGCTGCTCCCTTTTTTTCAGGAAGACTACCACAGGCTCCTCACGAAGTATGCTGAGGCTGAGAACACCATCGACCAGCTACGCCTTGGGGCCAAGGTACCAGGCTGGGTTGGGGTGGAGGCATGGGCCTGAGTCCCTGCAAAGGTGACACTTTTCCACAGTCCTAGAGAAAGGTCACTGCCTCCTCCATCTATTGAGGCCCTGGAGATAGTGAAGCGCCAGTTTTTGTTTACCCCAAGGTCCCTCTGTGACCTTGGGCAGTGACCTTGCCCTCCCTGGGCTTTTTTTTATTTTTATTTTTATTTTTGAGTCAGGGTCTTGCTCTGTTACCCAGGCTGAAGTGCAGTGGCACAGTCATAACTCACCTTCTGGACTCAAGGCATCCTCCCGCTTCAGCCTCCTAGTAGCTGGGACTACAGGCATGTGTTGCTGTGCCCTGCTAAATTTTTTTCCAGACGCCCATAACATATCTGTGGACGTGTACAGCGATTGGATAGATGCCTGCAAGGCAGCCAATCAGTAGCAACACAGAGGACCCGCCCCCTGGGCAGCCCCACCTGCTGTAGACCCAACTGCTCGCTTTGGGTCTAGAGACATTCCATGAGTCCAGGGTGTGGGTCCTGGACTGTGGCAGCCCTCTTGTGTGGGAGTGGGTGTGGCATGGCTGTGTGTGTGAGTGTGGCTGCACATGTCACTGTGGGGTGGCCGTGAGTGTGTGTTCATAGGCACGCGGTGGTGTCCAGGGGTTGCTGGACCTGAGGGGCCTGAACTGACCTCACTTGGCTCTGAAAGCCTTTGCTGTGTTCCCTTCTTCAATCCCTGGCCCCCCAGCTTTGGAGCCATGGCTCCCCCCACTGGAAGTGGGGGGCTGTTTCCTGATATGCTGGACAGGGGAAGCCCAGTAGAGGCTGGAATGGAACCTCTCCAGCCTCCTCATCAGCACTGTACCCATCTGAACTGGACTTCCCACCCTCCTTCTCCACCTTCTAGTGCCCGTGCCCTGGGATTCAAAGCCACCATTCCCCAGGTCCCCAGGCTGGGCCCTGACAGGGAGCTGCTTCCCTACCCCCATGATAACCAGGAAGCTGTGTTTCATGTTCAGTTGCTTTTGCAGAGGAGGCAAGGGCTGGGATGGGGACAGCTGTCAATCATAAGCCCTTCAATAAAGCAACCAGTGCACAAAAAAAAAAAAAATTTTTTTTTTTTTTTAATGTTTTATAGAGACACGGTCTTACTTTGTTGCCCAAGCTGGTCTTGAACTCCTGGGCTCAAGTGATCCTCCTGCCTCAGCCTCCCAAAGTACTGCTGGGATCACAGGCATGAGCCACCACGAGCCCAGGAATTTCATTAAAACCTCTCTCCATCTAGATGGGCTCTGGAGTAAGGTCACCTGGGTTCGACTCCTGGCTCCATTGCTAACGAGCTCTGTGACCTCAGGGAAGTTACTTGGGCTCTCTGAGCCTAAGAGAGTAACACAGAATTTCTGCTCAGCCACTGGTGCTTGTTTTCCAGGCCTGAACCTTCCTGGATCACACCTTTGCCTTTCTCCCTCCCCACCACCTCACTATAGCCTCTCCCTTCCGCTGGACAGCAGCGTTGGGCAGGGGTAGAGTGGAGGGGAAACCCACCACCCCAGCCCCCACCCATCTTGGGAGGAGGCTGTGAATTCTGCACCTTCCTCTTTTCTGAGTGAGGCAGGAAGTGGGACCTGTGGGGCCCCTCGTGGCTTCCTGCTTTTGCTGTGCCCTCCTCTTGCCTCATCAGGCAGCAGTGGAGGAGAGGGTGGAGCTGAGGGGCAGAGATGTAGACCCCCCCACCGCCTGCCCACCCCATCATGCACCAGGACCCCACCCCCCACCCCCACAGCTGCTGCTTTCAGTGTCTAGAGGCACTTCCGGGGCAGGTGGGCAGAAGCCACTGTGGGGAGGAAACAGAAGTAGGGGGCTATTCCAGGACTGGGAGCCCCTCTGCATCCCCACACCTGCCGCCTGGAACAGGCAGGCTCTTTCCCTCTTGGCCTCATGGGGCACATCTGTAAAAGAGGGCTGGATAATCAACTTCCTCCCAGGAGCCGAGGAGGCTCCTTCCAGCTTTCTGAACCGCTGGGCCAGATCCAGGGTTGGAAGAGACAGGGGCGTCGGGAAGGGGAGTGGAGGGGAGTTTGCTAGGTTGTCTTCTCTGGGGAATTCACATTCTCTTGGCTGCAGAATCCAAGCAGGTCTGAGGAGAAAGGAACTGGTCATCAGACCCAAACACTTGGGCTTCCCCATTTGACAGATTGGGAAACTGGCTCCCGTTGGGGTAGGGGCCCCTGAAGGTCAAGGAATGGCCGGGGCTGGAGACTTGGAGCGTCTCAGCCCTCCCTCCTTCCCTCTTTCCTTCTTCCTGCACTCGTTTAAAGGCATGAATCAGTATACAGAAAGCAATTACCTGGCGCTTGGCAAGCTCTTTGTAAGAGTTAGGAAATATTATTGTTATAAAGGTGTTTACTGCAAGCCCCTATGTGCCAACTGCGGTGACACAGGCGGGGGTGGACATGGGGAAGTGCAGCCAGGGTGCCTCCGCTTGTGGGTCCTCTCTTGACCCAGTAGGACTCAGGGTCCCCCCCGCCCCCGTGTGTAGTTAACCCGCCCTGGCTGGCACCCAGACCCCTGGCTCTTGTGTGCGAGGGTGTCACAGGAGGAGAGAGCCAGGAATGGTTCTGTGCCAGCTCACTCACTCCCGCTTTCTAGAAAAACAATTGCTTGGCTCAGGGGCTCTCCTCCCTCCCCCAAACTTCTCTCAGCCTCAAGAAGCGTGAGCCTGGTTCAGGGCTCTGCCGGAAGCAGGATGATACTATCCCCCCAGAGCCTCCCAAAGCCCCACAGCGGGAGGGGAATCACTCCAGGTCCCTGGGGCTTGAGGGGAGCTGAGATTCCAGCTGGCCAGGCTTCCTCACTCCGTCTGGACCTCTGCGCACTCTACCCTGAAGGCTGGAGAGACCCCAGGATGGCCTTCTGCTCAGAGCCCCACGAGTTCACAGAGGCAGTCCTGCTCCTCAGACCCCCCCATGACCTGCTGAGCGACTTCACTCTGCTCAGTGCCCACCGGGGAGGGAGCCCCACTGTAGATGTTGCACTGGACACCCAGGCTAGGCATGGCGGTTAGGTGGACAGCAGTGGATGGGGACTCATAGGAAGGAGATTGACGTTCACTGAGCAGCAACAGGTATCCTACCCAGGTTTGGGGTCATCTTATTTGAGCCCCTCCACATGCAGACACTGCAGCTCAGCCAGGTGGAATGCTTTGCTCAACATCCCACAGCTGGTGCAAGAGACAAAGCTGGGACTGAAACCTACATCTGCCTGATTCTAGAGCAGGTGTTCTTTTCCTCAGGCCTAGGTAAGCCCTGGCACTGGCTATGGAGAGAAGTATAGGGATGAGGCAGATTGATGACAGTTATAGTAATAAGAATGGTCATAGGTGATGTTTATAGACCACTGTCCTAAATAATTTTCAGTTGGGGAAGCTGAGGCACAGAGAGGTTAAGTAACTTGACCAAGATCACTTAACAAATAGGTGCCAGAGCAGGAGTTGGAAGCCCACGAGTGACACCAGGCTCTAGCAGAACTGGACTCGGTAGAGGCGGGATCTGCAGCTAAGGAAGGCTGGCCCAGGACCTCCGCTGGATCTGGAGCCTTGGGGTTGGGGCAGGACCAGGGAGCCCGGCTGTGGGGCGGGGAGCCACGACTGGTCAGGAGTCACTGGGGGGCTCTGTTCTCTACCCTGGCCTGTGGCCAGGGTTTATGGTGATCTCACTGCTTTAGCTACCATGTTGTCACCTCCCCCTAGCCCCTATTCCTCCATCTGAGCTGCAGAGGGATCTGGAAGAGCTGAGGTGACCAGAAACTGCCCAGAAGGAATTCCGGAGGGGATGCCAAACCACCTTTCTTCAGTGTGTTCTGATGGCCGCAAATTGGCCCAGAAGCCACCGGATGGGGATGGGGGTTGGGGAGGTTTCTGTGTGCAGATGAGTTGGGGAAATGTCTTCCTCTCTCTTCCTGCTCCCCGCCTGCCCGCCCCATTCATAAAGCCCATTAGCATTTTAAAAGCTGAGAGAAATCCATCTGTGCAGAGAATATTCATTTGTTTAACCCAGTGTTTCCCAAATTCACTAGTCCTTCCTTCACAGGATCCTGATTCACCTTTCACAGGGTCCCACGAGGGAGTAAATCCAGCCTTGGGGAGTACCCAGGACACCCTGGCTGTGTCCAGGGAGATGGACTCTGGGAGGGCCAGGCTTGAACAGCTGCAGCTGACACCCCCACCCCCCACCTCGTTGCTCTGCCTGGGCATCTGCTTGGGGTTTTGGGCTTCTCTGCTTCAAACTCCTTTATGGTCCCTGAAACAAAGGATCCCACTGGCTTCCCTGGCCCATCCCTGTTCCCTGTCACTCCCCAGGTGGGGCCTGAGGCTGAGAGAGGGGTCAGGGGAGGGAAACATGTCAGAGGGCTGGGCCTGCCCTGGGATTTGGGTCACCTCAGGAGAGGGGTGCTGATAGGAAAGCCCCCACAGGGGGGTCTGAGCAGATGGCTGACAGGATTATTAAAATCCAGCTTTGTTCTCATCTGGGGAGGCTGGGCCCGAAAGAGGGGGAGGCAGCGGGGACCACGCCACACTTGGAGTTGATTTTTGAGCTACAGCCAGGACCTACACAGCTTAAGCAAGAGAGGCTGCTTGCCTGGGGGCCAGGGAGCCCCTTCCACCAAACCCACCCTAAACTGCCAGTTTCTGACCTTGTGCAGCAGGGGGCAGTTAAGATAACCCCCCCGACATCATGATGAGCAGGTGCCTCTAAGGGTGTTGCTTTTCCATGGACCCATCTCCATGGTGGCTGTGCAGAAAATGATGGTGATGATGATAATGGTGATGGTGATGATGATGATGGTAATGGTAAAAATGGTGATGATGGTGGTGGTGATAACTGGTGGTGGTGATGGTGATGATGGTAATGGTAAAAATGGTGATGATTGTGATGGTGATGGTGATGATGGTGATACTGATGGTGATGATGGTGATGTAATGCTGATGGTGGTGGTGATGGTGATGATGCTGATGATGATGGCGATGCGATCATGGTAGTGCTGATGATGGTGGCGCTGATGATGATGGTGATGAATGTCAGGGTGATGGCTGCTATTTACTGAGCACTTATTTCATGCAGGACCTGAGAGGTTATTAAGCCAACTAGGACTCAGAGGTGTGCCGTGGTAGAACCTGGACAGGAACCTGGGCTCTGGCTGCAAGCCCACATGCTAAGTCACAGTTGGCAGACTTTCTCTGTAAAGGGCCAGATTGTGAAAATTTTTAGCTTTGCGGAGCATATAGTCTCTGTCACAACTACTCAACTCTGCCACAGAGTGTGAAAGCAGCCAGACAACACATAAACAGACAGGCATGGCTGCGTTCAATAAAACCTTATTTACAAAAGTAGAACGTAGTTCTCCAAACTCTGCTCAAAGCTGTTGAACAGCATGTGGTTTCCCCTGCTTTCAAGCTTCAAAAGGTCTTCCTTAGCCGGACTCCAGACTTCTCCCTCACCAACGGCCATGTTAAATCCGCCCTCAAGTGAGAGAGATCTGCTACCAATGGCAGATCAGTTTGTTCACTTCCTGTTTCACTCATTCATTCGAACAGCGATTAGTTGCTATTATTATCAGTGTAACAATTGTTGGAAATATTTATATGAGTTAAGAAATAATTACATGTTATATTGTATAGTATGATATAATTATAACCCACATTATTAATTAAGAGTTACTGTTAACAGTAGAACCAGCCGGGCGCAGTGGCTCACGCCTATAATCCGAGTGCTTTGGGAGGCCGAGGCGGGTGGATCACCTGAGGTCAGGAGTTCAAGACCAGCCTGACCAACATGGAGAAACCCTGTCTCTACTAAAAATACAAAAGTAGCCAGGTGTGATGGTGCATGCCTGTCATCCCAGCTACTCAGGAGGCTGAGGCAGGAGAATCCCTTGAACCCAGGAGGTGGAGGTTGCAGTGAGCTGAGATCGTACTGTTGTACTCCAGCCTGAGCATCAAGAGTGAAACTCCATCTCAAAAAAATATATAGTAGAACCATAGATGTAGGGGTCAGATAGAGCAGTGTTGTAATCCTTACCCAAGGACTTGTCAGCTGGAGATTTTGAGTAAGTGACTTAATAACCTCTCTGCATCTCAGTTTTTTCTTCTATATAATAGGGTGTTGGGGTCCCCACCTTGTCTTCCTTTCAGGACTTCCATTAAAAGTAAATGAAAGGGCATGGAGTTCTTCACCTGTGTTTGACCCAGCCAAGGGCTGCCCTGAAAGATGGTATTTATTACTACAGGGTGTAGTAAGAAATGTGTGTTGAGCTCCTGAATGAAGATGAGGCATTCTGGTGGGTTTGTCCCTGCCCTGACTTGGCTCTGCCATGCCTACCCACTTCCACAGGTGAACCTGTTCTCTGACCCACCCCAGCCCAGCCGCAGCATCCACACAGGAATGGTACCGCAGGGGACCAAGGTCCTGTCCTTCACCATCCCACAGCCCCGCTCAGCGGAGTGGTGGCCAAGCCCAGCCGAGGACCCCCAGGCCTCTGTGGCCTCAGGTGAGTCCCAGAGAAGAGCTGCACTGGAGGCTCCTTCTGCCTGGGATTCTGCTCTGTGGGGCCTACTTGCTTTACCCTGGGAATGACACTGGCTTCAGGCCAGCGGAAGGAGGGAGGCAAGGCCCCACTCTGGACACTTTGACTCAAAGGGGTCAGAGATGTGGAAAGTGTCCTGTTTTGAGCCACAGCAGCATGGGGGCAGCCCTGGCCCTGCCACTTGGCGTCTTGGTGATCCTGGGTGAGTTGAAAACATGGAGCATTGTCCCTGGGGAGCCCATATCTCAGCCAGGCCCTGTACTAAGCCTTGACACATGTGATCTCAGTTAATCCCCACAACAGCCTGTTGAGGTGTACATTGTTGTCACACCCATGACAGTCAAGGGGACCAAGGCTCGGAGAGGTGAGGACATGCTGAAGCTCACATAGCTATGGAGGGGAAGTGTCTGGACTTGAACCCACGTCTCCCTGTGTGAGAGCCCACACTTGACTGGGAACCCAGAGGACTGGCATAGCTCTGCCCTTGCCAGCCATGTGACCTTGGGCAGATCTGGACCTTGTTCTCCCCTGTAAATGGGGGATGACACTCTGCCCAGCCCACTTCCTGGGGCTGATGTGAAGATAGCACATGATGACTGAGCTGGAACTTGATGACAGAGTTGGTGGCTTTGAGGTTCAGCCTCAGCCCTTTAGCCCCTGGAAGAACTATTCTTGGCCCCTGCCTTCAGCAATTGTGTATTTCAGGGTGGCCATCAGCTGGAGGAGACCTGAGCCCCTCCTTGCCCACCAGCAAGCCTACCCTAGGGTGGCTTCCAGAGAACCGGGGCGTCTCCAAGGACCAGTCCTCAGCAGATCAGACCCAGGCACTGGCTTCTCAGGCCAGACAATTCCTGGCCAAGGTGAGTGGACTCCCAGCTTTGCCCCCGAGAGACTTAACTCACCTGGAGAACACAGAACCTCTGCCTGCTTGGGTGAGAGGCACTCTGGGAGCCTCCCTCGTCATTCCCCTGTCTCTACACCAAGTTAACTCAGCTGTCCCCAAAACATGAACCCCTCCCTGGTTTTAGAGGCCACACAGCTCCAGCTCCTCCTTGCCACCAGTGCTAGGTTTAATGCCCCTTTTGGAGATGCATCTCATCAAAGCCCCTCCAGTTGTGCTTAAAAGTGTCTCTAGGCTGATTCCTGGAAGACTCTAAGCTCTTGCAGGATTCCGGAAGGGTAACAGAATCTCCACTCTGCCTTTTCCTCTTCAGGATAAGTTGCCTCTCTTAGTTCATTTTATTAAATAAATCAATTCTCAGTTACTTCTCAAGGGTCTTTGTATCTCCATCCAACAGTCCAAGTAACCATGGATTGTCTGCAGGTCTGTTTATAACTGTATATTGACTTTATTCTAGTTCTTTAAAGTACCTTATGAAAATACATGCGTTTTAACCCCATTCTGAAAACAGAAGCGAGTAAACTGGGGCAGAGAGGAAGTAAGGAGAGAAAAAAATAAAGTATGTGAAGTGAGTAAATAAAATGTTCTGCTGGAGCCTAAGCACATTAGAATCACACATTTAGTTTTGAGCTTCTGAGCTGCCAATGCAAAAAGAGAAATGCCATAGTTACAAGCACCACCATGACCATAAAACAAATTATTTCAGAGAAGCCCCACCATGCTATTCTTCTTCCCTTCCCTTCCCTCCCCTCCTCTCCCTTCCCCTCCTCTCCTCTCCCCTCCCCTGCTCTCCCTTCCCCTCTCCTCCCCATCTTCCCTGCCCTCCCCTTTTCTCCCCACCCTTCCCTTCTCTCCTGCCCTCCCCTTTCCCCTCCCCCCTTTGCTTTATTGAAATGTAATTCACATACCATGCAATTGATTCACTTAACGTGTATGCTTGCTTCAGTGGTTTTTAGTATCTTCACAGTTCTGCCACCATCACCACAATCAATTTTAGAACATTTTCATCACCCACTAAGAAATCTCATCTCTATTAGGCAGCCACTCCCCATTCCCTCTTCCCCCAGCCTCTGGCAGCTGCTCATCTGCTTCCTGTCTTTATGGGTTGACATTTCATAGCAATAGATTCATGCGATATCTGTCCTGTGTCTGACATCTGTCACTTGCCATGTTTTCAAAGTTCATCCGTGTTGGAGCAGCACATACACACAAGTACTTCATTTCTTTTCTCTTTTATTTTTTTGAGACAGAGACTTTCTCTGTTGCCAGGCTGGAGTGCAGTGGTGCCATCTCGGCTCACTGTAACCCCCACCTCCCAGGTTCAAGCATTTCTCCTGCCTTAGCCTCCCTAGGAGGTGGGATTACAGATGCGAGTCACCACACCTGGCTAAATTTTGTATTTTTAGTAGAGACGGGGGTTTTACCATGTTGGCCAGGCTGGTCTCGAACTCCTGTCCTCAGGTGATCCACTCGCCTTAGCCTCCCAAACTACTGGGATTATAGACTTTGTTTCTTTTTAACCACCACCATGCTTGGTTCCACAGCTGGAGACACATTTCTTCTTTGTCTTACCTGTTGTCCAGAAAATAAAGTGATGTCAAATCATCACACTGACCAGGAGCTGGGGCCTTAGCTGACCCCTCATGATCTAGGGCTGCACAGTCCAATTCCGAAGCCACTGGCCACACATGGCTGTTGAGTACTTGACATCACGTGCTCTGAATTGAGATGTGCTGTGCATACAAAACACATACCTGATTTCAGAGACTTAGAAAAAAGTATACAAAATATCTCCCTGTTTTTTTATATTGATTACATGTTGAAATATCATTAAAATGATAATTTTAATAAATAAAATATATTATTAAAATTTATTTTACCTGTTTCTTTTTACATTTTCAGTGTGGTGCTGAGAAAATTATAAATGACATGTGTAGCTCACACTGTATTTCTATTTTATATATTATATGCATTATATAAAATATGATTATATTATATACATTTCTATGTTACATTTCACAATGATCTAGAGCGTTCTTAAAACCGAACCTTAAATCCTCCCTTGCCTTGCTCTATCGCCAGGCTGGAGTGCAGTGGTGTGATCCCGGCTCATTATAACTTCCGTTTTCTGGTTTCGAGCAATTCTCCTGCCTCAGCCTCCCAAGTAGCTGGGACTACAGGTGCACACCACCACACTGGCTAATTTTTTTGTATTTTTAGTAGAGACGAGATTTCACCATGTTGGCCAGGACGGTCTCCATCTCTTAACCTTGTGTTCCACCCGCCTCAGCCTCCCAAAGTGCTGGGATTACAGGCGCGAGCCACCGAGTGCGGCCTCCTTTGCCTTCTTTCTAATTAAACATTTTTTGTTTTTTCTGTTTGGAGCAGGTAATAGACCCCCATGATAAGGACCCTTGCACAGTACAGCGGGCATATTGAGCAAAATATAAATGTTTCCTCCAACCCATGCAAAAACGTTAACTGCACACTCTCATATTTATAGAAATGGTTGCATAAGCTACTGTACTGTGACTTTTTGAAGTCCTAAATTTGAACATTGATTTTCAGGTAGGCAATGAATTCACATTGTTCAAAGTTCAAAGGAAGCAGAGGACATGTAGCAGAAAAATCTACTTCTCATCCCTGTCTTCCAGAGACCCAGTTCTCCTGAACAATTAATATTTAATTATGAATAAATTAGTTATTAAGTAATAATTAAATAAATTAATTGTTAGGAAACAATATTTTAGTTTCTTGAAGCCTTCTAGAGATAGTATGTTATATATAAGCAAATGTATTTATAGTTTTCCTTTTTATTCCCTACATATTTTATACAGATGGTAGCATACCATAAACATTGCCCTATACCTGGATTTGACACTGTAAAACAGGTCTTGGAGGTATTAAGAGCTCAGAACATACGTGTGTGCCTTCCTCTTGTTGATGGCTGCATACTATTCCACAGGCAGGCATTTAGGCTGTTTCTTGTCCCCTCCCTACTGTTCTTGCTGCACTAAATATTCTGGCTCATTAGCCTTCATGCACGTGAGTGAGTTTCTTTGTCCTCAGTAAATTCCTGCAGGTTTCACTTTGATTTTTCTCAAGGGTGCCACTCCTGGGGCTGGTGGTAGAGGCTGTTCCCGGCACCCACCTCTCCATGCTTGGCAGAAACCCCACATCCTGAGGACAGACCCAGCTCCTCTTACCAAAGCATGGATGTGGCTGGGTGTGGGAGTGTGCAGGGCTGGATTAATGGAGCATATTTCTTTCCCCTCCTAATGTCCAGGTGGAGTCCTTTGAAAGACTGATACAGGCAGGACGGCTCATGCCCCAGGACCAACTCAAGGTACTGCCCAATTCAGGACCTGCCCGTGGAACTGCCAGATAGCTACTGTCTCCCATGGCTCTGTCTCTGACGCCTCTTTTGCTGCAAACTGGGAAAGAGAATCCCAGACACAGTGTTTCTTTAGAGCAAACAGCTCCTGCTTAGCTTCCCATGATAACCATTGTAATATCACAATAGTTACCACTTACTAAGCAAGAATGGTTGTGTGCCAGGTACTGTGGTAAACCCTAGTGTATGTTATTTTATTTTATCATCATCAAAACCCAGTGAAGCAGTTACAGTCATCACCCTCATTTAACCAGGATGGAACTAAAGCTCAGAGAGGTGACTCAAATTATCCTGCCTCTCAGCAGGCAGAAAAAGGCCTTTTCTTTTTTATCACCTTAAAAAAAAATTACAAAAGTAGTTGCCCAAAGTTTGAAAACGAGGTTAAAAAAAAAGCAGAGCGGGGAGACCCTTTCTAGAATCCGTATTTGTGTATTTCCTTTTGGAATTTGGAGTTTTAGATAACTGTGGTCATAAATACCATTTACATTCCTGCTGCATCAGCCAGAGTCCCAGTAAGGAACAGGGGGAGCTTCAAATCTGGGAGTATGGAGGTCAAAGGAAGGAACTATCAGCACAGGTGTGGGCAGCATCAGGGGACCCAGCAAAGGCCGGGGGATCCCCAGGGAGTAGCATTAGCGGTTCCGGCTCTCAAGTCTCTCTCTTCCCACCCTGCAGTCTCTGATAGGTTCCTCCCACTACACAGACCCAACCAGAAGCCAGCAGATGGAAACCCCTGGTACTCAAAGCACAGAGCAGGGTGGGAGAGGAGCTGGGAGAAGGTCTAGAGAGGTAAATGCAACATGCCTAGTTTCTAAAAAATTGTTATGGCAGGAGCATTTTCCTGTGTGGTTATACAGGTGTATATACATACATTTTCCAATCACAGGATGTGTGATGCGTATCATGTAGTATCATCCAGTGGATGACCAAGGACCTTATAAACTAAAACTCTGTTCCCATATACAGGGAATTTGAGAGCTGTTGGAAGACTAGATGTAACCAGGGTGTGGGTTCTAGGTTGTCCTTGGCCTCAGTCTGTCCTGGGTTGAATGGGATGTGGATGGTAGTAAGACAGTGATACTTGCCGGGCGCAGTGGCTCATGCCGTATCCCCGCACTTTGGGAGGCTGAGGCAGGTGGATCACAAGGTCAGGAGTTCAAGACCAGCCTGACCAACACGGTGAAACGCTATTTCTACTAAAAATACAAAAATTAGCTGGACGTGGTGGTAGGCACCTGTAATCCCAGCTACTCAGGATGCTGAGGCAGGAGAATCACTTGAACCCTGGAGGGGGAGGTTGTAGTGAGCTAAGATTGCGCCACTGCACTGCAGCCTGGACGACAGAGCAAGACTCCATCTCAAAAAATAAAAATTAAAAGGACAGTGATACCAATCCCAATTCCTGCAGCTTTAGTCATGGATTACCTGTGATCATATTTAACATGCAAACCTAGCAGAATTGCTAAGACCATGAGCTCTGCGGCCAGAGGGCCTGGGCCCACACCTTGTCTCTATAGCTCACTCACTCCATGACCTTCACCAACTTAAATGACCTCTCTGTGCCTCAGTTTCTTTCTTTTTAAACGAAGATGGTAAATTACCCTTCTCATTACGATTATATTGAAGACGAAATAAATGCAAAGTGCTTTAGCACAGAGCCTCAGTGCTCAGTAAGCGTTCTCTGTCATGCAATGGCGATAATAACATTATCCGTGTTGATACTCTATAAGAAATTGGGGAAAGAGTGGCTAATTTTCTGAAGCCCACACTTTTGCAAATTAAGAATGAGGATCCAGAGCCTCTCAAGTAATAGGTCCTTACCGAGATATAGTGAGAGTGTATTTGACACTGTGACAGCTATGACAGTTTGTGGTACTTTGGGGTCTTTGTAAGTCTACCCAGGAAGGGCTGGTGCCCTCTGAAGCTGGTGCCAAGACTCTAAGTGGTGTCTCTGTTGTGCCAGTCTGATGGCAGAGAGCTTGACCACGGCAGCTCTTCAGAGCAAGCAGCCTCCAGGGTTCTCAACCCGACTGTATCTCGCATGAACTCAGGGGCCCAGGTGCCTCCCATGGCCTCCCGAAAGCGGTCTCATCCGTGTCTTCAGGGACAGGCCCTGGGGGCTGAGCACTCAAGTCTTCCTGGCCTGGTCTGGTTTCAGGGCTTCCTGCGGCTGAAGGCTGCCCACGCAGCCCTGGAGGAGGAGTACCTGAAGGCCTGCCGGGAGCAACTTGCCGACCAGCCACTTGCCGGCTCCGTGGGGACACCTGGGAGATTTGATCCTGGCAGGTATCTGCTGGGGAGGAAGGCCTGGAAGGACAGGTGGGAGGGGTCCCTGGGGTTCCTCAGTCTCCAGGAGGGAGACACTTTGTCCTTATGATTTATACACGAGGGAACAGAGAGAAATCCTATCCTAATTAACAACACATCCAAATGGTGGCACACTCAGAAGCTGAGATTGAGCCCTTTGGACTCATGTGCTGAGAATACTCCTTGGCAATAAGAGCTGAAATCCTTGTTGGACTATGGGGAAACTGAGGCTAGAGGGGAGTGGGGTTTATCTAAGGTCCCACAGCCCGTGGATGGCAGAGGGGACTTGGACTGTGGCCCCCTGATTCCCAGTGGAAACTTCTTTCATCTTGTTTACTTATTGTGAGTTCTCACCATCATCTAAAGGATGATACAAAATGAACCCCAAAGGGCCAACCCCTGCAGTCCCTGATCTGATGCTCTCTCCCGAACCTGCCTGATGGGGCTGCCATCTTGGGCTCCTGGCGCTAATGTTTTTCTGCATTCCAGGGAGCTGGAGGCAGAGATTTACCGTATGGGAAGTTGCCTGGAAGAGTTGAAGGAACACATAGACCAGAACCAGCAAGAGCCTGAGCTGCCCGGGTCAGACTCAGCTCTGGACAGCTCCCCAGCCCTGCCCTGCCCCCACCAGCCAATGCACCTGCCAGCTTCTTCCAGACAAGCCCCTACGCTAGCCATCAAGACCTCCCACTGTGAGGTACCTCTTTGCTCAACCATATTGGGCTGTTCCCCTGTGCATTCATTTCTTGATTAATTCATTTCTTCAGTACATATTGCATATTTATGAAATGTGTACCATATGCCAGGATCCATGACACATGGTGGGGACTCAGTGGGATGGGAGGTGGTGGGGAAGGTGGCCTCTACCTTGACAGAGTTTCCTGCAGAGTTGAACTAGTGACAGTGATTTAGTTATAGTTATTACTTCACTGAGGGAGAATTACGGGGTTCTGTGAGAGTAGATAGCAGGAGTAACATGACTGAGTTTGAGGAGAAGGTCAGAGAAACTTTCCTTGAAGAAGTCATATTTAAATGAGACCTGAGGCTAAGTAGGAATTACCAGAGACAGAAAGAGAAAAGCCATCCAGCAGGGAAAACAGCCTGTGCAAAGGCCCTGTGGCTAGAATATGGGAAGAGAAGGGAAAAATAGTCTGAGATGTGGCTGGAGAGGCAGGAAGGGGCCCCATGACATACAGGCTGGTGGGTCACATAGAGAGCGTGGTCTTAAACTCTGCTGGGTTTTCTGGCAGGGGATGACATAGATGACTTGTGGGTAGGCCAGTCTGAGGCTGGCGAGGCAGCCGGCAAATGGAGAAGCACGTGTGGATTTGAGAGAGGTTGGGAAGGTATGTTTGAGTGGACTTGGAGCGGCTGTGAGAGGGAAGGAAGACACGGATGGCTCCCACTTCGAGCTTGTAGTACTGAACAGATGACGGGGCGAAGCCGAGATGAGAGTCCGACACGAAAGGGGCTTTGTAGGAGGCCCTCTGGCCCACACCACGACCCCTTGAGAGACAACCACTATCTCTGTTTTGCAGACAAGCAAACTGAATGTAGTGCATTCACACAGATGACAGTGGCGGGGTCTCTGTGCCTCTCAGCTCCTGTTGCCTGTGCTGCAAAGACTTGTCTGTTGGGGATGGAAGCAGGAGAGAGAGCCCAGCATGCTGGGGAGGGTGGGACTCTGGTAGGACATCCCTGACAGCTCTGGTCTTACTGGCCGCTTGGTTTGGGGAAAATCTTATGCAGTGCTCTGCCCTAGAGGCTAGGAAGATTCTACCAGGCATCACTACATGCATGGATGGAGAGAAAACCTGAGTACCTTATCTTGAGGGACCTTTGTGCCCTGCAGTGAAGGTATTGCAGGGGGCTGCGGTGGCCACATGGGAACGGATGCGGGCCAGGAGCGTTGACTCTGGCAGGAAATCTAGGTTCAAAGCTCAAATCTGCTCCTTGTTTCTGTTGACTTTGGGCAAATCATTTGAGTGTGAGTTACCTGTCTGTAAAATGGGTTGTAATAATTGTAGGTACTGCCTTCTCGCCTAACGCCGCCAACATGGTGTTCAGGCGCTTCGTGGAGGTTGGCCGGGTGGCCTACGTCTCCTTTGGACCTCATGCCGGAAAATTGGTGGCGATTGTAGATGTTATTGATCAAAACAGGGCTTTGGTTGATGGACCTTGCACTCAGGTGAGGAGACAGGCCATGCCTTTCAAGTGCATGCAGCTCACTAATTTCATCCTCAAGTTTCCACACAGTGCCCGCCAGAAGTATGTCCGGCAAGCCTGGCAGAAGGCAGACATCAATACGAAATGGGCAGCCACTCGATGGGCCAAGAAGATTGAAGCCAGAGAAAAGAAAGCCAAGATGACAGATTTTGATCGTTTTAAAGTTATGAAGGCAAAGAAAATGAGGAACAGAATAATCAAGAATGAAGTTAAGAAGCTTCAAAAGGCAGCTCTCCTGAAAGCTTCTCCCAAAAAAGCACCCGCTGCTAAGGCTGCTGCTCAAGTCCCAGCTAAAAAGATGACCGCCGCAGGCAAGAGGGCTCCTGCCCAGAAGGCCACAGGCCAGAAGGCTCCTGCCCAGAAGGCCACAGGCCAGAAGGCAGCGCCTGCTCCAAAAACTGAGAAGGGTCAAAAAGCTCCAGCCAAGAAAGCACCTGCTCCAAAGGCATCTGGCAAGAAAGCATAAGAGACAGTTATACAGAGTAATAAAGGTTCTTTTCAACATGTTGGCAAAAAAAAAAAAAATAATAATTGTAGGTACTGGCGGTGGTGGTGTGATGTGATACCTGTATGGTGCTTGGCAAATAGTAGGAGCTCAATTCGTGACAGCCAGTATGGAAGAGCACACAGCCCAGCCTCCACAGTGTACACACACATGAAAGGGTGGTGGGTGTAGTGAGTCTAATGTGCTTCTTACTCTTCAGCCCCCAGCATGAGCCTGGCAGGAGGTAGGTGCTTAAAAGTAGTGTTGAAGTATCTGCTGAATCTCTGTCCCTCCGTCTCTCTGACCCCAGCCTGCCACCACCACTGCTGCCGCCAGCACTGGCCCCTGCCCATTGCATGTGAATGTGGAGGTGAGCTCTGGCAACAGTGAGGTGGAGGACAGGCCGCAGGACCCCCTGGACCCACTCAGGGACAAGGAGCTGCAGACGGAGCAAGTTCTCCATGGCCTCTTAGAGCGGTGAGTGCCACCTGGACCCGACTGCAGTGTCCGGCCAGCAGCTGGATCTTGGCGGTCCCCCACTGGGCAGAGGTCATGCCCCTCTGTGTGTTCTTCTGCAGGTACCTCAGTGTGAAGTCTCTCCCAGAAGCCATGAGGATGGAGGAGGAGGAAGAAGGGGAGGAAGAGGAGGAAGAGGAGGAGGAGGGAGGCAACTCCTTGGAAGTTGATGGGGTGGCTGCAGCTTCAGGGAAGGCAGAGGCCACCGGGATCCTCCCAAGGCAGTGCCTGGTGCAGGCTGAGAAAAGTCACAGGGCTCCCCTGGAGTAAGTCGCTGAGCCTTTCCTGCAGAATGTGCAGTTCCACGCTAAAACCACAGGGGTGATCACTGTCAGAGTGAGTAAGGCAGCACTTCCCAGTTTACACATGGCTTCCTGTCCTGCCTCTTCATGGTGTGGAGTGTTTACCACTGATAGCCCTTGAAGTGATGTTGGGTAGTGTGGGACATGATTTTCAGTAAGACAGATGCAGTTCTAAAGAACAGTATTCTCAGCTGGGCACAGTGGCTCATGCCTATAATCCCAGCACTGGGGGAAGCCAAGGCAGGTGGATCACTTGAGCCCAGGAGTTCAAGACTAGCCTGAGCAAAATGGCAAAACCTCATCTCTACAAAAAATACAAAAATTAGCTGGGCATGGTGGTACACCCCTATAGTCCCAGCTGTTTGGGGGGCTGAAGTAGGTGGATCTCTTCAGCCCAGGAGACAGAGGTTACAGTGAGCTGAGATCAGGCCACTGCGCTCCAGCCTGGGTGACAGTGTGAGACCTCATCTCAAAAAAGAAAAACAAATATTTTTCTCCTTTTCCGTCTCAGACCTTCTAATGACACCAAGGAGAAAGTCTCAGTGCTGTGGTGTCTTTAATGCCTCTCTCGATCTTCTGTGGAAAAAGAGAGACAAGAGTGAAAGCATGCAAGCTGCCCTCGTGCCTAGAACCTGTAGCAGGCAAATGAATCTATGCAGTATATGATAATATTCAGGTTTCTTATATTTATTCTCAAAGTTAGTTTCTATTTGTCACATGACACACCGATCTTCTGTTTTAGGTTTTTTGTGTGTGTTTTTTTTTTTTTGAGATGGAGTCTCACTCTGTCACCCAGGCTGGAGTGCAGTGGTGTGATCTTGGCTCACTGCAACCTCCACCTCCTGGGTTCAAGCAATTCTCCATCCTCAGCTTCCCAAGTCACTAGTATTATAGGCACCTGCCACCATGCCCAGCTAATTTTTGCATTTTTAGTAGAGATGGGATTTCTCCATGCTGGTCAGGCTGGTCTTGAACTTCTGACCTCAGGTGATCCACCTGCCTCAGCCTCTCAAAGTGCTGGGATTACAAGCATGAGCCAATGCACCCAGCCCTGATCTTCTGTTTTTAATAGTGATCTAAAATCTTTTGAGTGGCTGGAAGTTTATGGAAATGGCTGAAATAGGGAAGATAGTATGTAAACTCCTCAAGCCTGCTTTAGCATTCCCTCTGTGGTGTATTGGGCAGGTTTTGTTGGCGTCCACATTTTACAGTTGAGAAAAGTGAGGTCGAGAGAGGGGAAGTGCCTTGCCCTAGGACACACAGCTAGAAGGGTGGCAGAACCAGGCTGGGCAGCCAGGGGTGTCTGACTCTGGAGCTTGTGCCCTGGACTGCTTGGCTCCCAAGACAGGCCAACCCCCACGTCAGGACTGCCTGGCCTGCAGCAGAACTCAGGGATGATGCTCTTCTCTTCCCATGCCAGGGAGGCCACAGAGCAGATGGAATCCGTGAAGCCACCAGGTTTCCAGACATCCCTGGCCAGAGACGGGCACATGTCAGGACTGGGAAAGGCTGAGGCAGCCCCTCCAGGCCCTAGCATGCCACCCCACCCTCCAGGCACCAAGTCTGCAGCATCCCACCAAAGTAGTATGACCAGCCTGGAGGGAAGTGGCATTTCTGAGCGCCTTGCACAGAAGCCTTTGCACCAAGCCGGTGGGTCCCACCTGGAGGTACGTCTCCCTGTGGGGAATGGGCCCAGAGCCTCAACTTTCTGCTTCTGGGTCTTTCTTTGTGCTCTTCCTTCTTGGAATACCTGCTGCTCCTGTCCCTCCCTGCCAGCCACAATCCCACCTGACATGCAGGACTTATGCCCAATGCCACCCCCATCCTGTCACTCTTCCAGAGCTCTTGTTCCTCCTCTGAGAGCTTGGAGCCCATTGCTTGTACTTCCCTGAGCCTGCTCATTACAGCTGGGGAGGCTAGTTCTATGCCCTTTAGAGCAGAGATCACTGCCGCAAGGTCACAGACCACAGTGGAAATGTGACTGTCATAGAATGTATATATGTACATTCACATGCATGCACACACACACACATGCTTCTGTAGCCCACTGTCAGGAGTTTCTGCCCTAGTTGTGAACTCACCGAGGGCAGGCACCTGTGCTGCTGTTTGTGTTCTTTGTGCTGTTCATGAAACCCAGTGGGTAGGACCTGTACATATTTGACAGTTTCATTTTTCCAATGCCTTGGGCCTGAGCATTTCCACAGTCAGAGAAGACCACAGTATTCCAGGCCTAAGTCAGGAGACACAGGAAATAAGGCTTCCTCCCTCTCCCCTTGCTAGTCCTTGTCCACGGCCATGTCTCTCCCAAGGGCTCTGGCTGCCACTCCTCAGGGAGGCAAGACTCGCTCAGGGTCCTCCTGGGGTATGGAGCCCCTGCTGGTAGCCAGATTCTTGTGCTGGGGCCTGGGAGTCTGAGGGCTCTCACCCCTGAGCCTGGCTGCTGGGCAGTGGGCCAGCCTTCTCAGTGCGTGAGCGTCTGGGAGGTGAGGCCCAGGCCAGGATTTGGGAAGGGTTTCCCAGGCTGCTGTGGGCACCTTCCGCAGACATAAAGGAATGCTGCCTCTTTCAGGAGCCCTGGATGGCATCCCCGGAGACAGACAGTGGCTTTGTGGGCTCAGAAACAAGCAGAGTCTCACCTCTCACCCAGACTCCAGAGCACCGGCTCTCCCACATCAGGTATCCTGGGATCCCGCCATTGTCCCGTCAGTGCCACATACCTGGGACACAGTGTCTGTGATGGTCCGGAATAAGAGGAATGGTCTGGCCATTCATACGGCCTCATTCATTCCGCCGACCATGATTTCTTGTTCCCATGTTATTGACAGAGCTTCAGGGAGGGGAGTGACCAGTCCAGCCTCACACAGCCAGTTAGTGACAGACTGGGAAATTAATTTTTGTTGAGCAATTGAATGGATGAATGAATAAAAACTACAAGGAGGGCTGGGCGCAGTGGCTCATGCCTATAATCCCAGCACTTTGGGAGGCGGAGGCGGGTGGTCAAGAGATCGAGACCATCCTGGTCAACGTGGTGAAACCTCGTCTTTACTAAAAATACAAAAATTAGCTGGGCATAGTGGCCCGTGCCTGTAGTCCCAGCTAATTGGGAGGCTGAGGGAGGAGAATTGCTTAAACCCAGGAGGCGGAGGTTGCGTTGAGCCGAGATTGCGCCATTGCACTCCAGCCTGGGAAACAAGAGCGAAACTCCGTCTCAAAAAAAAAAAAAACCAAAACTACAGGGAGGGCACTGTGAGGTAAACAAAAGAAGATGAGGACAAAGGGCACTCAGGGTGGCTACGTGGAACCCAAAGGGAAGGGAGAAGGTAGAGGGGACAGGGGTGAAGGGTGGAGGGATGGAGCCTCCAAAGCTGGGTGCAGGCCCTTCAGGAGGCCCACGTGGCAACCCCAGGGTACATGAAAAGGAAGGATTCGAAGTCCTATTTTTTTCTTTTTTGAGATGGAGTCTCACTCTGTTGCCACACTGGAATGCAGTGGCACAATCTCAGTTCACTACAACCTCTACCTCCTGGTTCAAGTGATTCTCCTGCCTCAGTCTCCTGAGCAGCTGGGACTACAGGCATGCACCACCATGCCCAGCTAATTTTTGTATTTTTAGGAGAGACAGGGTTTCACCATATTGGTCAGGATGGTCTCGATCTTCTGACCTCGTGATCTGCCCGCTTCAGCCTCCCAAAGTGCTGGGATTACAGGTGTGAGCCACCACGTCCGACCTCTCTTTATGTATTTTAAACATAAATTGAGCTTTATTATTTTGCATATTGGGTTGGCCAGTGTACAGTTTGTGTGTGTCCTTGGAAATAGGGTACCACCGAGATGCGACATCGAAAAGGGTGGGAGCTCATTGGGTTAGCAAGTGGAGGGGCTCACATGCCACCTGAGGGTCTCGCTCTGTGTGACCTCCGTGTGTCCCTTCCTCCACGGTCCCCCAGCACAGCAGGGACATTAGCCCAGCCCTTCACCACATCTGCGCCCAGGGATGGAGCCTCCTACCCCAAGGCCAGGGGTTCTCTGGTCCCCAGAAGAGCCACAGAGCCCGGCACACCCCGGAGCCGAGCGCAGAGGCACCTCTCCTGCCCAAGTGGGCCTCCCCGGCAGAGGGCACCCAGTTGCAGCCTGGAGCGGGTGTTGGCCACAGAGATGGGTGAGTGCAGGAGTCTGGCCTGGCCAGAACTGCATGGATTGAAACATCAAACAGAACAACTTGCAGAACCCTTTAGGATATAGCATATCAGCCAGGTCCCTTGTACGGAAATTTGAAATTATAGATAAGGTGGTCAAAAGGGAACAAAAGAAAAAAAATACTCTGGAAACCATTCATGCTGACGTTTTGGTGTAGAACCTGTGAGCTAGCTGTTTTCTGTGCTGATGTAAATGTGTGTTTATTTACACACACTGTCATGTACTGCAGGGCAGTTTTGTTCAACAGCAGACACCATGTACGACTCAGCCTCCCGAGTAGCTGGGACTACAGGCCTGCACCACCACATCCAGCTAATTTTTGTATTTTTAGTAGAGACCAGGTTTCACCATGTTGGCCAGGCTGGTCTTGAACTCCACTGGCCTCGCCCTCTCAAAGTGCTGGGATTACAGGCATGAGCCACTGCGCCCAGCCTGCACTGTACTTTTATAAGTGACCAGCAGAGCAGCCCGGCCTTTAATTAAATGTTTTATTTGGAGATAATTGTAGATTCACATGCAGTTATAAGAAATAATGCACAGAGATCCCATGTGCCTTTACTCAGTTTCCCCCAATGATAATATCTTGCAAAACTGTAGCACAGTGTCACAGCCAGATGTTGACATTGATGCAGTGAAGATGCAGAACGTCCCTTCACCACAAGGAGTGTCATGCTGCCCTTTCACAGCACCCACTTCCCTCCTGCTTGCAGCCTGTCCTTAACCCCTGGTAACCACTGATCTGTCCTCCGTTTCTATAATGTCATCATGTCAAGAATGTTTTATAAATAGAATCATACACTATGTAACCCGGGATTACATAGTATCCCAGAGACTGGCTTTTCACTCGGCATAATTCTCTGGAGATTTACCTAGAGTATTCCATGTATCAATAGTTAGCTCCTTTATATATTGATGAGTAGTATTCCAAGGATTTCATTGCTTTTATTTTTAATTTATTTGTTATTTTTAAGACGGGGTCTCGCTCTGTCACCCAGGCTGCAGTGCAGTGGCGCCATGATGGCTCACCGCAGCCTTGACCTCCCCAGGTCAAGCGATCCTCCCTTTTCAGTCTCCCAAGTAGCTGAGACCAAAGGGGGTAACTCCACATCCAGCTAATTTTTTTTTTTTTTTTGTACAGTGTTTTTTTGCAGCAAAGATAGGGTCTTTCTATATTACCTAGGCCAGTCTCGAACTCCTGGGCTTAAGCAATCCTCCCATCTCAGCCTCCCAAGGTGCTGACATTACAGGTATGAGCCACCATATCTGGCCAGTTCATTGCTCTTAATGCATGGGCCAGATGAGTGGTTTTTAACCTTGGGTCACCCATCCCTTTGGGAGATTGGTTAAAAGTTATTAATGCTCTCCCCAGAAATATGCATACATGGAAAAAGGTGACTATAATTTCAAAGGAGGTTCTGAAGCCAGCCCCAGAACAACATAGTAAGGTGATCAAGTTCTTGGGGACGCAAGTGAAGGAGTGTCCTTAATTCTTTGCAGGGGGAATTCCTAAAGACTTGGATGGTGTCATGGTGGGTGGGAAGACAGGATCTGGTTAGAAACAGCAGAGCAGGCCCAGCTCAGCACCCCACACACCCAGCAAAATTTAGATCTTCTGGTTTGGAGGTCAGTGTGGGTCATTGGCCTCATCAGGAGCTTCCTTTGTGACCTTGAACTGGGCACTGCTTCTTCACTTCCCCCGTCATTCCACCTGCATGAGCGTGAGCTTGGAAGTTCTCTCTGCTTAAACTCACTTTGGGTTCTCTCTCTGCCTTCCTAGTGGTTCCTGGCTCGGAGTCTGAGGGGCACAAACGGATTTCTGAACAGCTCCTTCCAAGCAAGACAATCAGTCCACCCCCAACCCCTGCCCCAGCCACTTCCCCTCTGCCCCGTGGACCAAAAGAGACCATCCCCAACTTCCCGCTCACCAGGGCAGAGCGAGAGTAAGTTAGACCCTTGGATCCTGGGGGTTCAAGCTCATCATACAGATGGGAGTGTGATGTGATGTGTTAGGGGTGGAGGTAGAGACCTGCCCAGCTCACACAGCTGCTGGTGGTGGCACCATGCTGACCCAGGTGTCCTGCCTCCCCGCTCCCAGCGGTTTCTGTGGGACCTCACTGTTCTAGTCATCAAGGACACTTCTCCAGCCAGTGGAAACTGACCTAAAGAGTCACCTTTCTGGTGCTGAATCATCTCCTCTCTCTCCCAGTCATCTCCCTTCCAAGATAAGCCTGTCCTTTCCAGTGGTGTGTTTTCTGCCACTTGCTCATTGATTGTATGAACCAAGAAGCTACTGCCTTCTGAGTTTTCTTTTCTTTTTTTAAGAAAAGAAATGTGCGGTTTTTTCTACTAAGAAAGTTCCATTTCCTTCGTTGAACAGAAATGGTAAAATGGCTTGGTCGGCTCTCTCACACCTCCTCTTAGTTGCTTTTAGTCAGTGATCACTCACATGTCCTTGCGGGAAGGGGTGTCTGTCTTGGGATGCACTGGGGAGACTGCTTGGTGGTGACCCAGCCAAGGCTGCTTTGGCCTGAACAGTCATGAGGCTGTCATGTTGCCCACGTGCCAAGTTGTGTCCAGCTGCTGGCGTCTGGCTTCCTTGTCTGCCCCTGCAGGCTCCCCTGACATCAGTGGAGGAATTAGAGTCTTGTTTCTCTATGGTATGCCAGGCCTTGGGAATACAATAGTAGACAAGACTCTGCCCTAGGCCTCATAATGCTTACCATCTTATAGGATGAACACACGAAGAAACAGGCAGTGGCACCCCCACTGTGATAAGTACCGTGATGGCAGAGGACTAAAGGACTGTGGGAACACAGAGAAGAAGCATCTAGTCTAGTTAGAGGCTTCAGGGAGGGCTTTCTGGAGGAAGTGGTGTCTCAGCAGACATCAGAAGGAAGAGAGGTAGAAGGGTATCTCCAGCAGAGGGAATGGCATGTCCAGAGGTCTAGAGGTGAGAGAGTGCCCATCACCTCTGAGGAGCTAAATGGTCAGCCAGATCCTCTAGTGTGAGGTGGGGTGGGGGGAGCAGGGTGCTAAGCAGTAAAGGAAGAGAGGGGTAGGTAGGAGAGACCTGTGGGAGATCCTGCCTGAAGGCCACGGGTAAGAGGGGACGTTCACTGCATATTCCGTGAGGGCACAAAGGCTGTGAGGACAGGGAAGGGGATTTTAAGCAGGGCAGTAGTGTGAACAGGTTAATGTTTTAGAGTTCTCTGGCCACCAGCAGGGTGAGAACAGGCTGAGAATCTGCTGAGAAGTCCGCTTCATCCAAGAGAGAGATGACAGGGCCTGGGTTCTCTAGGGCGGCCCCTGCAGAGGGAAGAAGGGATTCATTTGGGAAGAGAGATTTTGAGAGTTGGGCCCATGAGACTTGGTAGCTGATTAACTTCAGGGGTGTTCAGGGCAGGAGCAGGTCTAGAGGGACTCAGATTTCTGTCTGGCCAGTCAGCTGGATGCTGATGCCATGTGCAGAGATGGGGGAGTAAGTTTGCCGAGAAAGATGGATTTTAAGTGCCAGCTGGTACTCAGTAAGAAACTAAAGAGTTAAATCAGGGAGACTGAGATACCCAAGTGACTTCACGCTCCAGCCTGGTAAGCCTTTTTTTTTTTCTTTTTTGAAACAGAGTCTCACTCTGTCACCCAGGCTGGAGTGCAGTGGCACGATCTCTGCTCACTGCAACCTCTGCCTCCTGGGCTCAAGCGATTCTCCTGCCTCAGCCTCCCAAGTAGCTGGGATTACAGGCACATGCCACCATGCCCAGCTAATTTTTGTATTTTTAGTAGAGATGGGGTTTCACCATGTTGGCCAGGCTGATCTTGAACTCCTGATCTCAAATGGTCTGCCCACCTCAGCCTCCCAAAGTGCTGGGATTACAGGTGTGAGCCACCACACTGAGCCTTTTTTTAGTGCCTTCTGACTGGGAGCCGGAGCTCTCCCTTGCAGGGGTTAACTGGGGGCGGGGAGATGTCACTCTCCAGTAGCCACCGCCCACCCTTGCCCTCAGGGCTTTGTCTCAGAAACACCAGCGGGCATCTCCCTGGGGATTACCAAGGGAACCCACTGCCCTTGAACACACACACTCAGTGCTAGGGAACAGCCAGGAAGAGGCCTCCGCTCCTGACACACTAATCTGAGCACTCATGTCTGCTGGAGGCAGCACCAGGAGACACTCACCCACAAGTCCAGGGGCCACCAGGCAAGAACGGCCCCAATGGGAATTCCCACTCCAGAAGCCAGACCAAGGGATAGATGTGGAACCTGCATCAGCCTGGAGGGTGGTCTTGCTGAGTTGAAGCTCTAACGCTGCTCCATGTTGGGGAGAAGGAGTCTTGTGGGGAGGGGTGTCTGGGTAGGATTATCTGTTGCAGTCCTAGCAATGTCCACAAAACGAGACGCTGGAGATGCACGAACTGACTGGAGAGAAATGCAAACCAGATTTACTCCCTAAATGCTGGTGACTGGAGGTAGGACCACGTTGGGAGTTTCACCAGGATTTACTACAGCCTTGCAGACAGCTTCCAGCCTGCTCTCAGTCAGCCCTCCTGGGACAGATAGTGCTAGGAAGCATCAAGGTGTCTCCTTGTCTGCTTTCCACACACAGCGCTTTACTCTGCTCCCTCTCAAAGCCCAGATCCTCTGCAGTACTGTTTCCTGAGCACAAGGTGCAGGGGCTCAGGGGTTATAAGACAGGAAGCCATTTCCTTCTTGCCTGCTGGTGGCTCACTGTCTGTGTGGGGAGACAGTGGACAAGTGTCTTCTGCTAGGTCTGGAGGGACAGGCTTGCATAGTGGTAGGGAAAGGAGCTGCGCCTGGACAGAGAGTGAAGGTTGGTATTTCACAGTGAACTGTAGCTAGGGCCCTCTCTTACCTGCGTCCTCATCTCTAGCTCAGGAATTTGTCACTGGTGTTTCTGGACAGCTATTCAGACCCTGTGTGTCATGCAGGGGAAACTTCAAACAAAAGTTCTGTTCTGTTCACTGAATGCACAGGGACATGAACTCAGAAAGGGTGTCAAGTTGTGTAGCAAAAAAAGTGTTGCACAGGGAAGTTCTCGAATCATTTGGCATCAGAGCTAGACCCTGTGCCTGCTGGGACCGGCCAGAGGCTGCTGCATCCTGGCACCCTCTGGGGTGGCTGCAGCTCGGTTCCTCATGCCTCTGTTCTTTGTTTCTGTCTTCACTCCTACCCCAGCCAGGCCATCCGTGAGCTGCAAGAGGAGGTGTCCCGGCTCCGCGTGCGGCTGGAGGACAGCCTGCATCGGCCAGGCTTTGACCGCCCCGCCCGGGCCCGTGGCCGGCCAGTGGACTCCCCAGCCCTCTGGGGACCCCATTATGGCAGGTGGGTGACCTCAAAACGCCCACCTCTGTGTCCTGGTGGCAGCCTTGGAACATGGCCTCTGGCTCTCCCCAGACATACGGACTCAGGCACTGTCACATCCCTCTCTCACTCATTCACTCATTCATTCATTCACTGTTCCATTTGTTCACTGTGGAATATTTGATGCACAGAAGAATATGTAAACCTCTGTGTTAACAATATAGAACACCGCAATGAATATCCCTGGGCCCACCACCCAGCCAAGGAGTTAGAACATTGCCAGGATGCCTACCTTCTCACCCACTAATTTGGTGTTGGTTCATTTATGATAATAACATAAAATCAGCTGGCTTCTTTTTTGAGTGTTTCTATGAGAGGGCACTCAATGAAGAGTTTTATGAACATTTTCTCATTAATCTTTTCATAACCCTCTGAGGTAATCGCTCTTATTACCCCATTTGACAGATGGGGAGACTGCGGATCAGAGAGGCTCAGAGCCATATTCTGTGATACTGACTTCAGAGTCTTTGGCTTTGACTTTTATACTCTTCCTTCCATCGTGTTAGAATACCTGCTCCAGGCTGAGCTTCTCACAAATCCCTTTAAAGGCCACACAAAACCTCGTCCAATGACATCTCTCTTTCCTTTTGCCAGTAAATCCACAGAGAGATTGTCCGGTGAGCCTAGAGGTGGAGAGCAGACGGTCTCCGCAGGAAGGCGGCGAGCCAGGTCTTCCTCAGTGCCTCGGGAGGTGCCCCGACTGTCCCTGAGTAAGTGACCACCTGCCCAGGCTGATTTCTGGAGGCCACAGTCTGAGCATGTTGGCTCAGTGGTCAGGGACCACAGCGACAGCATTCAAGGAAATTTAGAGAAGGGTTTTTGTGCGTCTGTTTAGGATATCATAGTGCTGTGAAGCGCAGTGCACTTCAATTTTTTTTAGACAGTGTTTCGCTTTTGTCACCCAGGCTGGAGTGCAATGGCACGATCTCGGCTCACTGCACCCTCTGCCTCCTGGGTTCAACTGATTCTCCTGCCTTAGTCTCCCAAGTAGCTGGGATTACAGGCACGTGCCACCACGCCTGGCTAATTTTTGCATTTTTAGTAGAGATAGGGTTTCTCCATGTTGATCAGGCTGGTCTCGAACTCCTGATCTCGGGTGATCTGCCCTCCTTGGTCTCCTAAAGTGCTAGGATTACAGGTGTGAGCCACCGTTCCCCACCAGCACGGTGCACTTCTAATGTACGGCACACCTACTGTGTGCAGGGTGTCTGTAAGGACTTTGTAGCTGCCATCTTGCTTAACCTCCATTGCAAGATGGTCATATTAACCGCATTCCACAGATAAGGATGCTGAAGCCCAGGGAGCGCAGGGGACATGCTGAAGGATCGGGGCTCTGGAGTCAGTAGCCAGGATCAGCCAAGCTCCCTCCACTTGTCCTTGACGGAGTTGTTTACCTGCTCTGAGCAGTTAAAGGGACAGCTCACCATGTATTTATAAAGTGTCCATCTCATGGGATTGCTGTGAAGGCGCCCGACACAGCACACACAGAGCGTCTAGACTAGCACTTGGCATGGGGGCGGGGTTCTGGAAATGTCAGCTGTTACTCCTAAGGGGCAGATTGGGGATTAAGATTGGGGATTAAAACCCAGGCATCCGCCCCAGAGCCTGAACTCATGATACACCCACTCCTTGAGGTATGTGACCCCCACCCCTTGCCCCCTCTGATGCCCTACTTTTTCCACCCCAGGTTCAGACTCTGAGTTGCCCCCCCTGCCACTGTTCTCTGAGATGAGCAGAACCACTGAGGACAGTCCACAGGCAGCTCGGGACAGAAAGAGAGGGAGTGGCAGTGCTGGATGGTCAAACAGGGTCACCTTCCGGGGCCAATACACAGGTAGGTCGGGAGGGAGGGCCGGGATGGGTCTAGTCCCTGGTGGGGGCGGAGGTCTCCTATGTTATGAGAAGCTTTTTCCATATGCCCAGTGGGTCATTCAAATATCATTTTCTGTCTGTTCCATGATATAAAAACCAGCAGGGAGTATTGTTATGAATCTCTGTGCATTTGTTCATTCATTCATTCATTCACTCATTCAGCAAATGCTTTCTGATGCCTCCCCTTCACCAGGGCCCGCGCTTGGTTCTGGGAAGCCTGTTCAGCTGGTCGATCCTAAATTGGTTTCTGATCACCTGCTCTTTCCCAGCTCAGAGTATACAGGGTGGACACTGACTTGGGTATACCATTTGCATATACCATTGGGTACACCTGGCTTCCTTCAGGTTCTCATTTCCAGAGGGTCCCTGTGTCTCAGGAAGTAGGCACCTGGCACAGAGTAAAGACTTGAGATGATGCATGGTAGCATTTCAAGTGCTTAACAGTTAAAAAAAAATATATATATATATATATGGGCCGGGCATGGTGGCTCATGACTGTAATCCCAGCACTTTGGGAGGCCGAGGTGGGAGGATCACCTGAGATCAGTAGTTCAAGACCAGGCTGGCCAATGTGGTGAAACCCCGTCTCTACTAAAAATACAAAAATATTAGCCAGGTATGGTGGCAGGCGCCTGTAATTCCAGCTACTTGGGAGGCTTAGGAATGAGAATTGCTTGAACCTGTGAGGCAGAGGTTGCAGTGAGCTGCGATCGCGCTACTGCACTCCTACCTGGGTGACAGTGGAACTCCATTTCAAAAAAAAAATTATATATATATATATGTATGTGGTTCTCACCTTCATGAATCTGACTGTGTAGCAGAGAAGATGATAACCAATAGGTAATTATAGTAAAGGCAACATCTCTCACTGACACCTTGTGGAGGAAGGAGGGCTGCTGACCTCAGATTCTGGGGACAAGGCAGGAGGGCAGAGACACATCTCGGCTCCATGGAGCATAGTGAGGGAGTCAACAGAGGCCAAGGAGTTAGAAGCAAGAGTTGCAGGAGCGCCTTCAAGCTCACCGGACAATCTCTCTATGGATTTACTAGCAAAAGGAAAGAGAGATGATGTTGTTGGATGAGATTCTGTGCAGCCTTTAAAGGTGATCTCAACCCTTAAAGGTGAGCTCAACCTGGAGAAGTGCTTCTAACACAACGAGAGGAAGACAGTATACAAGTCAAAACCAAGGACTCTGAAGTCAGTCTCACAGAAAATGGCTCTGAGCCTCTCTGACCCTCAGTTTCCACATGTGTTGCATGTGGGAAAGAATAGCAGTGACCTTCAGTGCCACATACACAAAGCCAGAACAGCATAGGAGGGAAATGAGATGATGAGACCTCTCCGCTGTGGCTTCAGGTGTCACATAGAAGGCCTTATTTAAAGCTCAGGGATGGATAGGCCGGAGGTGGTGGGGCTGGGTGAGGAGGCTACAGTCCATCCAGCTTTCTTATAACATCGAGTGCTTTACATCTGCCAGGCACTGGGCGGAACATGACATGGATATGGCCCCATTCAGTCCTCCCTACCAGCCTGTGAAATGGGCACTACATTCATCCACACATTACGGCCACTCAGAGCACGGAGGCGAAAACGCCGCTGACCCCATGCCTGAGCCATTAGATCCAAACCAGCAAGTTGGGGTGTGGGGAGCAGCATCACTTGTTAATTTCTTATTGTTGCTTTACTTATCATTTCTTCCTGGCCTGCCTTCCAATCCTGACTTAGTCTGGGTGTGTTGGTTGCTACTGGGTATCAGCTGGTTCTTGGATCTGGGATGAAACAGAACAGGCATCTGGGAAAAGCTTACAATAAACAGACACAAAAATGTGCGGTGACGTATGTGTGTATATGCATGTCAGTCATACTCACATATGTACATATTTTACACATGATGTGTGTATGCACATTCACATGTGCACACATGAGAGAGACACAGACTATTAAAACCATTTGGAGGAAGAGGAGAAAGATCATTATTCTGGAATCCTCGATTTTGCATCCATCCAGAGGGCTGATACTGACAGTTCTGGTTCCTTTCCCCAGGACACGAATACCATGTTCTGTCCCCTAAGGCGGTCCCAAAAGGCAATGCCACAGTCTCCTGTCCCCACTGCCGGCCCATCAGGACCCAGAATGGAGGTAAGGAATGGTATCTGGAAAGCTGTCCCGGGCAGCTGCGGCTGCAGCTTCTTGCCCTCAGGGGAGTGCGTACGGGACCAGATCTGGCCTGCCCTGAACTCAGCGGTGGGTTATAGGGACAGACCAGGGAACAGGATTTTTCTGGGTGTCCTCTCATCTCATCTGCTGCTCTAGGTGCTGCTGCCTGAAGCCACCTCCTTGATTTAACAAGTTCCTGAAGGGTCCTGGTAGGTGAGCTCTAGGCCACAGGTGACCTGGCAGCAGTGACTATGTCTTATTCTCCACTCCCTCCTCCCTTCGCCCCTCATACTTTTCCCCAAGCCCACAGGGAGGAGTGGCTGGATCTGCCCAAGCAATCAGAGAATTCAGGCAATGGCTTCTAGTCCCAGTTCTGCCACTGACTTGCTGTGTGACCTTAAGCCAGTTCCTTGACTTCTCTGTGCCTTGGCCACCACATCTCTAATGAAAGGATTGGAAGAGATGGTTTCTAGGCCTTTTCAAGCAATGGTGATGATAATGACTGATGATAACAAGCTGCTATTTATTAAGTCCCTCTGTATAGAGGGTATCAGTTCTGTGAAGTTAAGTACTGCAGTACTATTATATCCATGTTATAGGCTAGGACACCAAGGCTCAGAGAGATTAAGTAACTTGCCCAACAACGCACAGCTTATAAGTGGTGGTGGAAACAGGATTCGAACTCAGGTCTTTGTGACTCCAGAAACCCACCTCTTCACCACTATGCCCTGCCTATGCTAGCATTAGAGTCCTGCATTCATTCATTCATTCCTTTAGCATGTACCCCGATGGGGCACTGGACCCTGTCTCCCAGGAGCACAAGGCAGAGTGGCCAGAGCTGGGTTAGGGGAGCACGAGCAGGGCTGGGGGGTGCCTGACTCTGCCTGACGGGGTGGGAGGGCTTTCCAGAGGGAGTGGTTGTTGAACCGAGGCATGAAAGAGAAACAGAGCAGCCCTGGAACTCACCCAGGTATGGCATTGGGGATTTGTGTGGGAAGAGAACAATGGTGCCCACTCTCCCCTGCTCCCTTAGGCCTCTGCCAACATCCCTGGTTCCCCTGGGGACTGTTCTGGGCCACTGCCATGTGGAGAATGGGTCTGTCTCACTGTGGGTAGGGGGAAATGGAGGTGGGCTGCATTTGGGAGAGCCCAGGCTTAGGATCCAATGACCACTGCTTCCTGGCTCTGAGACCTTGGCAAATTACTTGATGTCTTGGAGCCTCAGTTTTCCCATCTATAAAGTTGGGGGGCGGGGGGGATGAAGACAGTAACTAGCACAGTAGCTTGTAGGATTTGATAAAATAATGAGAGGGCCTGGCTCGTCAAATGCTTGCTCTCACTGTCATGGTTGTTGTCAATATCATTGCCCAGATGCAGGCAGCCTGTCCCCTCCACAGTGGACCCGGGGAGAGCTCAGTGCTGCATAAGGCCTGCATGGGGCCTCCTAATCTGATGATTTAGACGTAATCCTCTCCTGACATCTCTTCTTCCTCTTCCAGGCGATGCTGCCACAGGGGACCCACTGGGACCACCTCCTGCTGATACCCTTCAGTGTCCCATGTGTGGTCGAGTTGGGTATCCCCGAGAGGGAAATGATCCAGGCTCAGCCACCTCTGGTAGGGACAAACGCTTCATTTCTTCTCTTAGCCAGACCCTCAGCTCTCCTTGCCCAGGGTTTGGGGACCTGGGTGAGTTTAGCTGGGGCGATTGCTCTCCCAGTCTGTGACAGAGCAACCGGGGCAGAGGATTTGTTCCCCAAAGAGAGGCTTCTCCAGCGTGGAGTCTCACAAGGGAGGGCCTGTCCAGGTCTCATATGGGAAGGGCTGAGTAGATCCTCCATCTTTGCCCAGATCTGGCCAAGTGGTCAGACTCTGTCTCTCTCTGCTCTTCCCTCCCTGGTAGGGGCAGAGGCCACCACGAGGAGAAAAGCACCGTCAACTCCCAGCCCCAAGCAGAGGAGCAAGCAGGCGGGGTCGTCGCCATGCCTGGCCCCTGGACTGTGGTATCTGGCGGCTGCGCCCTCAACACCAGCCCCTCCGGCCTTTGCCTACATCTCCTCAGTTCCCGTCATGCCTTATCCACCAGCCGCTGTGTAAGAGCCTTTCATTCTGACCTTCCCAGCCTCTTTGTATAGCTCACTGAATATGTCAGCATTCAGACCTGTGTGGGGTGGCTGAGATGCACTGCACTCCTCCTGTGTTTTATTCCTGCATGGATAATATGCAGCAGGAGCCCAGCACTTACACAGTCACTCAACAAACCCAAGTCCAAGGAAAGTGCTTAGCCCTGGGACCCAGCAGTGAAGGGAACTAGGAAGAGGGAGCGCTCTGCCCTCTGGGAGCTTCTAACTTTGCGGAGACTGAGAATCCTAACCATCTTCCCTTTTCCTTGTGGGTTTTCTCAGCAAGTAAGTGATGACCACTGTTGTTTTTTAAATAGACTTTATTTTTTAGAACAGCTTTGATTTATAAGGAAATTGAGCAGATAGTTAGAGAGATTGCCACACACCTCCTCACTCCTGCACACAGCTTCCTCTGTTGTTAACATCTTACATCCGGCACATTGGCTACGTTAGTGAAGCAATACTCATACATTATTGGAACTGAAGTCCATGGTTTATTCAGGCCTCCTCCGTTTTCCTCAAAAGTGCTTTATTCCAGGATCCCACATGGTGTGTGATTGTCATGCCTCCTTAGGCTCCTCTCGGCTGTGACAGTTTCTCACACGTTCCTTGTTTTTGATGACCTGGACAGCTTTGAGGAGTCCTAGTCGGGTATATTGTAGAACTTTTTGCATAGATTCTGGACGTACCATCAGTCAAGCCAGGAGAGGCAGGGAAGCCAAGACGGAAGTGGCTTGAGTTTGGAACTGGCCAGAACGACTTTGGAGTCCCATCTGCCCCCTAGTAGCACTGTGGCCCTGGCAAAGTTACTTCCTCTCCAAGCCTCAACTTCCCCATCTGTTAAATGGGGGAAGAATCTGAACCGTGTATTTAATTCTGCGTGTGAGATTGAGTGCGGCACAGGGCAGGAACCAGATGAGATGTATGTGGAGTTTGTGGTGCCGGGTGAGCATGAGCTCACTGCTGAGCACACAGTAGCTTTGCCATCCCAGAGGATGTTGCTATTGCTCAGCCTGGTCACTAATAGGAAGAAAAAGGAGTAAAATTGGGTTCAACATGATAGGATTGTGCAGAGGACCAAAGCCCAGACCCCGGGAGTAGGAAACCTGTCTTCTTGTCTCAGCTGTCAGCAGCTGCTTCTCTGCCTGCTTCCCCTGATGTGAAATGGGTTGACTGGGACTGACACCTTCAGTGCCTGTGTTGCCAGAAGCCTGTGTGTATAGGCAGTGAGGGCCTGAGTCACAGGGAGGGCTGGTGCTTGGTGGAGCAGGGACCCCAGGCACCATCCAGCCCTGTTCTCTATTCGGGGACCAGGCCTATAAATGTGCTTTTAAAATTTTTTTATTTATGTGTATTTTCTGAGATAGGGTCTTGATTTGTGGCCCAGGCTGGAGTGCAGTGGTGCCACCTCGGCTCACTGCAACCTCTGCCTCCTGGGTTCAAGCGATTCTCATGCCTCAGCCTCTGAGTAGCTGGAACTACAGGAATGCACCATCATACTCAGCTAATGATTTTGGTATTTTTGGTAGAGAAGGAGTTTTGCCATGTTGGCCAAGCTGATCTTGACCGCCTAGCCTCAGGTGATCTGCCCGCCTCGACCTCCCAAAGAGCTGGGATTACAAGGCGTGAGCCATTGCACCTGGTCTGTAAATGTACTTTCTTGCTGCCCTCTCAGCTGAGTCTGAGCAAGTACTTAAGGGATCTTCCGCTCCAGCAACGTTGAGAACCCATGCCACATTCTCAGACCTCCAGCAGACGTGGGGGAGAACGCCTGCCCATGTTCCTACTCATTGGGTGGGAAAGGTTTTGCCCGGAATTCACCATGGAGTCTTTACTTCTCCCGAGGCCCCATTCCACATTCTTCCAGGCTCTGGCCTGTAGGCAGAACTAACCAGGTTGCTGTTTCCAAGTTAGGATGGGTGAGTTATATCTATGCCTCAGTTTCCTTCTCAGCAAAATAGGTTGTGGTGAGGATTGAATGAATTAATACATGGAAAGCCCGTAGTACATAGAAGTTGGCCAATGACAATGGTGCTTCTACTGCTGCTAGAATGTGGGCTGGTGGCACCCTGAAGTTTCTCCAGCTGCTGGTCAGCAGGACTGAGCGGGCTCAGTGGCTGAGGCCAGTGCAGTTTGGAAAGTGGAGTGGGCCTGTGCTGACCCCTGCTGGGCAGCTGCCCCCCTCCCCAGGCCCTGCAACCAAGACTTTCCAGCCTAGAGGGTCTTTTTCAGTGTCTGCCCTAGGGAGAGTTTTGGGTAACTTTCAGGCCAAGCTGGTCATCAATTTAACAGAAGGTGGGGGTGTATGAGAACCTAGTCCAGACAGTCCCCACTTTGACAATGGTTCGATTTATGATTTTTCGACTTTACGGTGGGTTTATAGGGATGTAACCCCCTCGTAATTTGAGGAGCCTCTGTAGTTACTTACACCAGACTGTCCCTAGAGGAGGGAGTGCAGGCTGCTGTTTATGGGATCTGGGAAGCCCATTCATTCAGTTCAGATTATTTTTATCAGCATCTGCTAAGCTTGCCAGTTAGCACAGGTTAGAGATGCGGGGAAAGTCGGGGCTGGGTGCGAACCCATGGCTGCCCCTTCCAGCCCTCTGACCCTGGGTCTTAGGAGCTCACATTTAGGGAGCACTTACCATGGCCAGGAAGTGCCAGGCTTTTTACCTGAATTTTCCATGGGATCTAAGCTGAGAGGTTCCTAACTGAGGTTGTTTTAGGTGGGAAAACAGAGCCCTTGCAAAGTGACTTAGCTTGTCCAGAGTTGCATGGCTAGCCTAGCAGAATGACTGGGATTTGGGGCAGGCCGCCAGGACCTGAGCTGCCAAGGCCGGCATGTTCTGTCTCCTGACTCACTTAGTGTCTCTGAGCTCCACTTTGCTCATCTGTAAAATAAAGATAAAGGCACCAACTGGTACATGGGTACCTGGGCTAGGCTCTGGGTTTAACTGTTGGAGGAACTGCCAGACTGTTCTCCACAGCGGCTGCACCCTTTACATTCCCACCAGCAGCAGTGCTGAGGCTTCCAGTTTCTCCACGCCCTTGTCAACACTGGTCGCTATCTGTCCTTTTTGATTTTAGCAGCTCAGCGGGTGTGGAGTGGTTTCACTTCGCATTTCTTGCTGGCTGACGATGCGCGTCTTTTCACGTATGCATCGTTCGTTTGAATGTCTCCTTTGGGGGAATGTCTGTCTGGATCATCTGTTGTTACACACTGTACTGTAGTGTAGGTTAGAAAGTGTGCACTGAGGAGGAAAGCCAGACTTCACAGTGTGCCAAGTGAGATGCCAGCGAGTGACTCCACCAAGGCCTCCTAAACTTATGCCTCTTTATCGCCCTCCCCCACCACACACACTTTATTCAACAATGCAGAGGCCACACCCCTCTTCCCACTGCCAGTTTCCTGGAACCCTGAACTTAGTGGCCCTGATAGATGCCATTGTCACTTCTTAGGGAAATCCATGCTTCATCTCAATAGGCTTGTCAGCCCATTCCCACAGCACTTTAAAACAGCACCCCACATTCCTGTAGGACTGGGCCGGGAAGGATGCCCTTCCCCCCACTTCCCAGGATATCTGGGGCCAGACCCTCCCACTCCTGCAGAATTCCTGTTATTATTGTTATTGCCTTTCTCCAGCACCCCATGCAAGCATGGAACCTGCAGATATTCTCCAATGAGGGGGCTTTGCTGTCAAGCCTGGGGTGATCCTGGGCTTCCCAAGATCCGGCTCCAAGAAGGTTGCAGGAGTCCATGTTATCTCGTCCCACTGTAACCCCAGAGCCTGGCACACTGGCTGGCAGGTACTAGGTGGGCAGTCAACCACTGTGAGATGAACAGGTGGATTGAACTTCCTGTCCTTGAACACTTTTTCTGGGTCAGGCACATGTGTTGTTATCGTCCTCATCTTTCCAAGAAATCCCTCGATGTGTTCCTATTATTCCCATTTTAGTGGTAGAGAAGTTGAGACCCAGAGAGTAGGGCCCAGTGGCCCAGCTGGGATGTAGAAGGGGGTTGACCCCACACGCGGTGCTCCTCAGCTCGTCCCTAGCCTCCCCGTGTGTAATGAATGAGCCCACTCACTTCTCCCCACAGGTACTATGCGCCCGCAGGACCTACCTCAGCCCAACCAGCTGCCAAGTGGCCCCCCACAGCCTCTCCCCCGCCAGCCCGGGGGCACCGGCATTCCATCCAGCTTCACCTGGGCGACCTGGAGGAGCTCAACAAGGCCCTGAGCCGGGCCGTGCAGGCTGCCGAGAGCGTCCGCTCCACCACCAGGCAGATGAGCCGCTCGCTGTCGGCCGACCTGCGCCAGGCTCACAGCCTGAGGGGCTCCTGCCTCTTCTGACTCCACTGGGGGCCCAGAGACAGATGAGTGTGTGGGTGGGCAGGTGGCCACCAGGCCAGGAGTGGGCTGGAGCTGCTGAGGCCTGGAAGGCCCGCATAGTTTCTCAGCAGGAGAGTATCCCTCCAGCACAGACCCCGCCTGCTCAGTCCCTGTGCTTTCTGAATGGAGGGGGTGTCAGCTGGATCACCAAGAGAAGTGACTTTCCAGGAGCACCCGTCCTTCACAGAGGTGCTGTGAGCGAGGCCCACTTACGTCCAGCAGAGCCTCTGGCAGTCTCTCCTGGTCCTGCACGTGTCCACCTCCTGCTAATAATAGGCATTTTATATATAGATGGACAGATATTTTTAAACTGAGGAGTTTTCCTGATCTTGGGTCCTCCTTAGGAGGCCAGACAAGAAAGGAAAGGCGACGGTTTCTGGAGCACACTTGTCCCCCATGTGACCAGTCACTCTGGGGCAGGCACCTCTGGGAAGGGCACAGCTGGAGACCATTCTCCTAATGACTGGCAGTCAGCGGGGCATTTTAGGATGTCAGAGCCCCAGGCTGACATGCGTCCAGCTTCTCCGTGGCAGCAGAGGCTTTTCCCACAGGCCTCCTGGGATGGAGGCAAGCTACAAAGCACCCAGGACGCTGTCCACTGTGGTCCCTCTCAGTACCTCATGCAAGGTCCCCAGCTTCTCCTAGGATCCCAGTGGCATTTATCACTGGCCAGCTACCTGCCAGGCCAGGGCTGGGGCACGGTCTTTGGCCATAAGGCCAGGCCACCTCCCACACCCCCACCCCGTGGCAGTGCATACCTCTGCATTTCTGGAATGTGTGTGCATCAATGATGTTTGTATATTTGAGGCATTTAAAAATCTATTTTCGTTACAAGGGCAAATGAAGAATGACTATTGATCTTAAATAAAAAAGAAAAGACAAAAAAATACCCAGAGCCATGTGTGTCTGTGGTGTGTGTCATTAACGTTGCCTTCTAGGCTGGGCATGGTGGCTCACACCTGTAATCCCAGCACTTTGGGAGGCTGGGGTGGAAAGATCACGAGATCAGGAGTTCAAGACCAGCCTGACCAACATAGTGAAACCCTGTCTCTACTAAAAATTACAAAAATTAGCCAGGTGTCGTGACATGCGCCTATGGTCCCAGCTACTTGGGAAGCTGAAGCAGGAGAATCATTTGAACCCAGAGGCAGAGGTTGCAGTGAGCTGAGATGAGGCCACTGCACTCCAGCCTGGGTGACAGAGTGAGACTCCATCTCAAAACAACAACAACAACAACAAAAAAAAAAACTTTTGCCTTCTAAAGTCAAGTTTATGGGTGGAAGATTTGATGCCCAGCCCAAATCTTTCCCAGGAGACCTGTTGGGTGTCTGCCTGCCTCCCTCTGGTGGCTTCTGTTTCTCCAGTTTTTCCCATCTGCGTATCTAAGAATCATAAATCTTTCAACTGCAGAGGGCTTTGAGGTAGGGCTGCCTAGCCAAGTCCCTTTTGACTGAGGCCAGAGATGTTGATGAGGCTCATGCCAGGTTGGTGTCTACAAGAGCGTGGACCTTGACTCTCTCCAGTGCTCCTTTCAAGAGCGAACAGCAGCTGCCATTTAGGGAGCACCTCCTACCCCCTGATCCCTGTGCTAAGCTCTGGGCCTGTCCTACTTCACACAGCCCACGTGCTAGCCCTCAAGACCCCTACTATGCCCCCGCTTTTACTGATGAGGAGAGTGAGGTTCCACTGGACCATCTGCCCAGACTGGTTCGGGAGAGAGCCTGGGTTTGAACTCACATTGGTCTGACTCCAAAGTTCACATTCTTTGTAATGTGTGTTTTTCGCTTCCTATACCCCCATGACTTTTTTTTCTCTTCACCTCCTGCTGCTTCTTTACGTGGGTTTTCCTTCCACCTTCTCCACTTCTTGCCTCCCTGCTTCTCCCTGTCCTGCCCACCCCGACTCATTTCTGTTTCCTTTTTCAGCAGATCCTCCTCAGTAGGGTTGAAAATGGTGTCTCACTGAAGGTAACACTGAAATGGAAAAGACTGGGTAGTTTATTTTTTAAAAAGAGGTATAATTGACTCATAGTTCCACAGGCTTCACAGGAAGCATGGCTGGGAGACCTCAGGAAACTTACAATCATGCTGGAAGCAAGTCCCTTCTTCACCAGGCAGCAGGCGAGAGAGGAGAGAGAGAGAGAGAACGAAGTGGGAGATGCTACACACTTTTTCTTGTGAGAAACAGCACTCAGGGGATGATGCTAAACCATTAGAAACCACCCCCATGTTCTTGTAGGTTCTGAGCCTTCAGTTCCAGGCCATTCTGGGGCCCCAGAGGCTGTTTTGTCCACTTGCCTTCTGAGGACATCAGCACGGCGTCCCTATCCTCTGTGTTGTGGACACAGCAGTGGTTTGGGTGCTGAGCAAAGGATGCTGGAGTCTTGGGCCTATGGAGCTTGGCTGTTGGGACAGGAGGTACAAAGCGGAGTGGTGCCTCAGGACACAGGACTGGACCCTTGGGTATCAGGGCTTTGGGCTCATGGTCCTGTCACCCTGGGTGGCATAGGCAGCTGCACACGCAGAATTGCTCCAACAACTCAGCCCAACTTTTCTGCCACTGTAAGGGTGCTGCTTCCCTCATAACGAGAGGCTGTCATTCCTTTTTAACAAGAGGCTGTCAATCGCAAGCCCGAGGTCCGGGTGAGGCCAGCCCTTCATGGCTTGTGTCACCAAGTGGATTGTGTCTCAGGTTTGGCTCCACCTCAGGGCTCGACATTTGCAAGATGTCAGCTGATTTCCAGGGACTGGCCTCACCCTTAAGTGTTGCCTTCTTCTTCTGGGCCTTCCAGGTGGGCATCCTGAGGACACCTCCATGGAGACACCCAGCCCATGTGGCTGGGCCCCAAGTCCTCTCCATCACTCTAACCCTTCCCTGCCCTGCCCTGGCCAGGCAACCGTCTCTGGCCTGGATGCCCACAGCAGCCTTCACGTAGGCCTTCCTGCCTCCAGCCTGGTCCCCCAATGTGCCTCCCAATGGTCATGGTAATACTGAAATAAGGACCTTATGATTGGCACCACATGCCATGAAGTCTCCCTATCCCATCCACCTTATATTAGTCTGTTCTCATATTGCTATAAAGAACTACCTGAGACTGGGTAGTTTATGAAAAAAAGAGGTTCAATTGACTCACAGTTCCGCAGACCTAACAGGAAGCACAGCTGGGAGGACTTGGGAAACTTACAATCATGGTGAAAGGCAAAGAGGAAGCAAGTCCCTTCTTCGCAAGGCAGCAGGAGAGAGCCAGCGAAGAGGGAGGTGCTCCACACTTTCAAACAAGCAGATCTCATGAGAAACAGCACTGGGGGAATGGTGCCAAACCGTTAGAAACTACCCCCATGCCCCAATCACCTCCACTAAGACCCACCCCCAACACATGGGGGTGACAATTCCATGTGAGATTTGGGTGGGGACACAAGCAAACCATATCACACCTCCACTTCTGTTTAGGGTCTTCTGCCCCAAGGTTTCTCAAATGCATCCTCTCATTTCCTTGCTTGCAGGAGGAAAAGAAAAGTTTTTTGTTTTTTTCGTGACTGAAGTTTTATTACAATCTTGCTATTAGGAGAAAGGCCTTACAGTAGTCTCAGTGTAGAAATTCACATGTGTAGGCCGAGCGCAGTGGCTCACGCCTGGAATCCCAGCACTTTGGGAGGCCGAGGCGGGCAGATCACAAGGTCAGGAGTTAGACCAGCCTGGCCAATATGGTGAAACCCCATCTGTACTAAAAATACAAAAATTAGTGGGGCATAGTGGCACGCGCCTGTAGTCCCAGGTATTTGGGAGGCTGAGGCGGGAGAATTGCTTGCAGCAGAGGTTGCACTGAACCAGGATTGCATCACTACACTCCAGCCTAGGCCACAGAGCAAGACTCTGTCTCAAAAAAAAAAGCTACATTTCTTTGCTTGTATTATTTTAAATTGACACATAATGTACATATTTATAGGTACTGTGTGATATTGAATGTTCCCAACACAAAGAAATGGCAAATGAGGTGAAAATGTTCATGACCCTGATTTGATCTTCACACATTGTACACAGGAACAGCAGGTTGTATTATGCTCCTCATCTTTCTAGATTGGTTCAGATGCCCCTTCCAGGAAGCCTTTCCAGATTTCCACCCTGTGGAAGAAATTATCTTCCCACGGTGCTGGCCTCCCACAGCACATGGTGCCTGTCATCATCTATCCTGGCCCATGTGAGGCTTTTTCCACCAGGGACAGTGTCTTATCCAGTGCCCAGCCAGGGTCCAATTCAGGGCAGGCTTCAGAATGAATGAATGAATGAAGAAATGACTAATAACCCAGCTGTTCCAAACACAGAGGCTTTATTGATGCAAGTGAGGGAAAGAACTGAGGTACACGTGCTGGGTTGGAGGGAGAGGATGGCCCCCAAGTCTCTGTCCTGATCCAGGGTTGTGTCCTGCTAGGATTCCTTCTCCTCCTCCTGTTTCCTCTCCTTCTCCTCCTCCTGTTTTCTCTCCTTCTCATGCTGCTTCTCCAGCGGCTCACACAAATCCTAGAAGGCAGCGGTGAGGTGGAGTGAGGGGGAAGCAGAGGAATGGGGAAAGAGTGGGAGGTCTTCTGTTGGGGGGCAGAATGAGTTCTGGGCTGTGGAACCAGTTCAACCAGCATTCCAGCCCCGGCACTGTCACTTCCCAGCTGGGTGATCTTGGGCAAGTCATTTTCTGTCTCTGAGCCTCAGCTTATTTGCCTCTAAAATGGCTCAGACCCTTAAAAACCACGGATATTTACTAAGCACTTAGGACCCGAAGGACCCTTACGCTGCATCTCCTGAATTCCTCACCACTGCCACTACTATGCAGATGATGTAACTGAGGCTCAGGGTGACCATGGAGCCCATGCGAGGCTCCCTAGCCAGACTGCGGGGGTGCCAGGCTGTGGATCAGGTGAGCTGACTCCAGTGGTTGTGTTCCTAAGCCCTGTCCCAGGATCCTGGAGCTGGGGGTTGGGGGGAACAGGTCACACCACTGATGGTGCTCTCAGGTGGCAAATGGCTGGAATTTGTTTTTCTTTGAATAGTCATGGAAGTACTGCATGTGTATATTTTAAAAACTGGAACCAGCTCATCCACACTGTGATTTCACAGATATTAGGGCACAGGGCCACACCAAGGCAAGACTTCAAACACAGATTTAAAGAAAAGTGTTAAGGAGCTCATTACACAGTAATTCTTATTTGTAGCAAAAATCAGGATGGTGATTCTGGCCGTGCTGCAGTGTGGGTGACACTGAAAACCACAGTATCAATTCCCCATTGCCCGGGTATTAAAAATAAGCAGGGGGCTGGGTGTGGTGGCTCATGCCTGTAATCCCAGCACTCTGGGAGGCCGAGGTGAGTGGATCACCTGAGGTCGGGAGTTCGAGACCAGTCTGGCCAACATGGTGAAACGCTGTCTCTACTAAAAATACAAAAAATTAGATGGGCGTGGTGGTGCACGCCTGTAATCCCAGCTACTTGGGAGGCTGAGGCAGGAGGCATCTGTAGGTGGTAACTCCCCACATTGCATCTCCTCCAGTTGCCAGTCCCCCTCACTGCTGCCACCTTGGCTCACACTGTTCCCTCCTGTTAGCTTTGAGATCCTCCCTGGTTCCGCAGGGACTTCTCCTTCCTGGGCTCTCATCCACCACCTGGGCATCTGTAGAGCTCAGCTGTCCCTACAGTGAGGCAGGTGCCTAAAAGCAGAAGATCTGCCCAGTTGTGCAGCCTTGTCTGGCAGCTCTCCCACTCTGGGGCTCTGAGGTTGCCCAAGGTGGGCCATGGACAAGGTGGGCACTACCCAATCCCTTGCATTTACCTTTTTTGAATCGGTGTACAGGACTTCTGACCTGGGAATGTGCATGCAGTCGAGAGCTTCGTAGAACTCTCCCAGTTGCTCCTGGGTCGTCTCTGGCTTGTCAGCTGCAGGAGGAGCAAGGAGAGTGAGTGGGACACAGTGGGGCCCGGGTGAGAGGCCAGGGAGGGCAGGGGTTCTGGGGGCCCAGCCCCAGGGGTGGGTGAATGGGGGGGCGTGGCCTAGATGGGGCATGCACTTGGGTCTGCCAAGCGTGCCTACCATAGACAGACAGCCCCGACTTCTTCTCATCGTCCATGTCAAAAGCGAGCATGAAGGTCCTAGTGTCCCTGAGGATCAGCAGGTAAGCAACATGTTCTCGTCCTTCCTCTGGAAGAGAAAAAAGAGCCTCTGGGTGAGAACATGGGATGGCACAATGGTGCCTATCTTACAGGTGAGGAGGCCTAGGTGTGTCCAGGCCCACACAGCCCATCTGTGAAGGCCTGAGGCTCCCTTGGGCCACCCCTGCTGTGTGCCCAGCCCCACTCTCGTGTGCCCAGCCCCACTGCGTGCCAGGCTCCATGCCAAGGACTTTCTATACATAGGATCACAGGAGCCTCACACAGACTATGGCAGCGAGGGCCTTTCTCCCCATTTTACAGGTGAGGAAAATGAGGCCCAGAGAGGAGGCTCAGCTCCATCAGCTGTCAGTTCAGCTCCATCAGCTCCCTGCTATGCGCCACCTCTGTGGTGATGGGAGGACAGAGTTGAAGGCACCACCTGTCCAACATACAGGCTTCCACCCTGGGTTTCCAAAGCATCTTAAAGAGGGAGAGAGAGGCAGGTCTGAAGCCAGCCTGGAGTTCTAATTCCAGTTCTGATTATAAGTTGTGTGGTCTCAGGGAAGCTGTTTGAGGTCTCTGTTCTGTTTTCTCATCTGATTCTCCCAATGTCCTCTTAAAGTTGTTTCTGAGCACATCGTAAGAGCTCGAAAATGTTAGTGGTTATTTCTCTGTGCCCAAAGTCTCCAGGACCCTCGACACACCCCCCACCTTATGCTGGCCTGCCCTGTTCCCACGGTGAAGCCTCCTGCCTGAGGGCTGGCCCTCACCAAATTTGGAGATGGTCCCATTCTCCCGCTGGACATTCAGGTAGCTAGTGTTATAGATGCATGCGTTCCGGCTAAAGCCAAACAGAAAATGGAAGGAAAACAGCACGATTAACAAGGAGAAGTGGACAATCGCTCATCACAGTCCAGGGGCAAGAGGCTGGTGGAGATTAAAGCTAGCCCTCCCGGCTCCACCCATGGGAAGGCCAAGGCCAGAAGAAGGAGGGGCTTGCTCAGGTCAGAAGCTGAGATGGGGGCGCTGGAATGGGGGATCTCACTTGGTCTGGTACTCTCTGAGAAAGATCGTGTCCTCTGTCTTGTTGGGGGTAAAGTAAAAGAAAGTTGCTTGAATATCCTGAGCCAACTTCTTGAACTCCTCGTTTTTAAAAGCCGATGCGATATAAAACCACTTGCCGGAGATCTAGGGAGAAGGTGGGAGTGGTGATGGGGGCTTGATGCTGAGTCTTTGACTGTCAGCCAGGAAAAGACTCAGGCAGATATCTCCCTGATTTTGCAAATGGGGAGATGAGGCCCCTGGTGGGGAGTAGACATGCAGGAGCTCACCCTGAAGATCAGTCACTCCCCCTGGGCAGCCCCTCCAGGCCCAGCAAAGAATTGTCCTCTGTGAAGGACTCTGCAGTGAAGTTTCTGAGTTTGGAGGCAGGCGGCGCCTCCAGAGTCCCCTGGGGTGGTAAGAATTTTACCCCAAGGACCCAGCAGAGAAAAGGGCAGAGCCAGGAGCAGGCGGCCAACCACAGCCATTAGGGAAAGGGAAGCCCAAAGAAGGGAGGCAGCTGCCCACGTGCACAGGGCAGGGCTAGCACAGGCACTCACCAGGTCTAGGGTGGCATTGGTGATGGGCACCGGTCTTAGGTTGACACACACTGGGATCTGGGCTTCTAGCAGAGGTAGGAGGCTCAGGACTGTAAGAACCCAGGGCAGTGCCATGTTGGGACCGGGGGCATGTGGAGCCAGGCAGTGCTGGTGGCCAGAGGGTGTAGTCACTTTTATAATAACCTGTGGGCGGTCACCTGGAGCCCAGCAAAAGTTTGCTTTGTGTCTGTGACACAATCCTGTCAGCACTTGGGAAATACCTTGCACAAAACCTTTTCCCAAAGGCCAGCTGAGGGTACAGCCTGCAACCCCAGGTCTAATTTGAGTTCCTGACATGGAGATGTTACAAAAGCTCTGGAGTCTGGTGGCCCAAGGCCAAGGTGGGTGTGGGGCTGCAGCCATGTTAGTAAACATGTGAGTCTGTACATTTCAATAGAGAGGCCTCTGGCTCAGCAATCTTACGTCTTCATTCAATTCCCATCCCACTGAGTGCCAAGACTTCAGAGGGACCCAGCCGCAAGCCAAATGATGAAGCTACCTTCCAGAGTCACCAGGCTGGCATGGGGTGTGTTGTGGTGGGGAGAGTTGGGGTGAGGGGTGCTGGGTGAAGGCAAACATGGATTCAGTTACCGAGACTGTGGCAACAGCTGTGTCAGAGCCAAAGTTCAGTGGGGCCCCAACCCAGCCCTGGACGCAGGCACATTTCCAAAAAGGGACATCCAAGTCAAACGTCTGTTTCCAGTCAATTTATTACATGAAACATCTCCCAACATCTAAAACAGGAAACGATGTCCCTGTTTCCCCCCATCTGAGCAGGCATCTTGCTTCTCTTTCACCAACATCTCTCCGATCCTGGAGCAGTGCCAGAATCACTCGTTCCGCCGTATGTACCCAGTGCCCTTGAAGTGCCAGTCATTGCTCTTCTACCCCACTTGTCTTTCTAGCCCATCGGTCAAGTCTTTATTTGTATGAATAAATGCTTTCAGAAAGTATGTAACCATTTCTTATGGCACGGTTACAATTTTGCATTCTTATTCATTTCATTCTGAATACTTTTTCATGTTTCCATGTAGTTTGTAGTTAAAAGTTTAATGGGGCCAAGGTGGGAGAATCACTTGAGGACCAGAGTTCAAGACTAGCCTGGGCAACACTGTGAGACCCTATCTCTACATAAAAATATTTAAAAATTAGCCAGGTCTGGAGCCGTGTGCCTGTAATCCTAGCTACTCTGGAGTCTGAGGCTGGAGGATTGCATGCGCCCAGGAGTTCACAGTTGCAGTGAGCAGTGATTTTGCCAGTACACTCCAGCCTGTGTGATGGTGCCAAAATAAATAATTAATTAAATGTGTAAGGGATGCATAACTTTTCATTCACTTACTCTATTCTTTTATGTTTTTGTTTTTGAGATGGGGTCTCACTCTGTCACCCAGGCTGGAGTACAGTGGCAGGATCTTGGCTCACTGCAACCTCTGCCTTCTGGGTTCGAGTGATCCTCTCATCTCAGCCTCTGAAGTAGCTAGAACTGTAGGCATGCACCACAACACCAAGTTAATTTAAAAAAAAAAAATTGTAGAGACAGAGTCTCACCATGTTGCCCAGACTGGTCTTGAACTTCTGGCCTCAGCCTCCCAAAGTGCTAAATTATAGGCTTGAGCCACCATTCCCAGCTTATCTAATAGCATTTCGTATTGTGATATTTCCTCTGATGATAAGTGTCAGAGAGTGACCAACTTCCCTTCTAAAATTACCTTACCCAAGGGAAAGAAAAGCACCTCCCATGCACAACGTCTTATATATTAACATTCATAACAGCATTGTTCAAAATAGCCAAAACTAGGAATAATCCAAATGCCCATCAGCAGAAAAATGGAAAATAAAAATGTGGCATTTTCTTACTAAGGAAAATGACTTGGCAATAAAAATAGTTGAACTACTGACACATATAACCACATGGATGAATCTCAAAACCATTATGCTGAACAAAAGAAGCCAGATATAAAGGAGCTAATACACGGTACGCTTTCGTTTATATGAAGTTCTAGAATCGCCCAAACAAGTCTATGATTTTAGAAATCAGATCAGCGGTTGCCAAGGGCAAAAGAAGGCAATTTGACTGCAAAAGGACGTGAGAGAACACTGGAGTGGATGACAATATCCGAGTTGTCATTGAGGTGGCCGTTATACACACAGGTATGGTTGTAAAAACGAATTGAATTGTAAACCTAAAATATGTGCATTTTATTTGATTTATCCAACCTCAAGAAAGTCGATGTTTTAAAAACCCTCCTCCCAAACATGACAAATCCAGAAGCACCAGGGATTTTGAATGCCAATTTGGCAATGCACAAGTGAGTCTCCTTATCCACAACCTTGTCACAACAGAAATGTCCCTTTTTTCCTCTGTTTTATGTGTTTTTGCCAGCTTGGTTTATTTTTTGAATTTGCATTGCACTCATCTGAGGCTTGAAACAATGATTGGGGTTATCAGGAGGGAAGAGAGCAGGTGAGAGAGTGGATGTAACAGGGAGCTGAAAGGTCTGTGCAGCTGGAGCATGTGATGGAGCCAGAGTGCCCAGACTTCAAGTTGAAGAGGGCGGCAGGAGACAGAGCCTGTAGGGCATGGAAGCCAGGCAGAGGGGTTTGCTGGGCTCCGGAGGTGATGGAGAGAAATTGAAAGATTTCAAAAGGGGTTGGAAGGCACAATCAGATTGCTTCTTTAGAAAGATCGCTCTGTCTGTGTGGGAAGAATGGGGAGGGAAAGGGCGGGAGACGAAACCTGGGAGACCAGTGGGAGTTGATGCAGTGGTCCAGGAGTGAGATGACGGGGACAGACTCCAGATATCATTTATCAATTGATTGATTGACTGATTGATTTGAGTCAGGGTCTCACTCTGTTACCCGGACTGGAGTGCAGTGGCATGATCTCAGTTCACTGCAGTCTCTGCTTCCTGGGTTCCAGCAATTCTCCTATCCCAGCCTCTCGAGCAGCTGGGATTAGGTGGGATTACAGGCGTCACCACCACACCTGGACAATTTTTTTTGTATTTTTGGTAGAGATGGGGTTTCGCCATGTTGGCCAGGCTGGTCTCGAACTCCTGACCTCAGGTGATCCACTTGCCTCTGCCTTTCAAAGTGCTGGGATTACAGGCATAAGCCACCGCGCCCAGCCCAGATACCATGTATTTTGAGGAGAAGCTGAGCATTCTGTGGGGACAGCACCACACGATAGACTATTGGGGCCTGGGGATTTAGAGGGCCCCACATATCACACCCACCCATCCACCCACACCACACACACACACACACACACACACACATCCAGTTTATTAAATAACAGATCAGCACCTCTGTCCTTTGCGATCTGGTGCCTGGTAGTGGCACAGTGGGACCCACATCACTAATCATTCTCTTTCACAACCAACACTGTGCAGGCCCAGGAAACAATCTCTACATCTGGCACTCCACTCTTTTTTTTGAAAGAGAAAAAAGAAAGAAAGGAAGGAAGGAAGGAAGGAAGGAAGGAAGGAAGGAAGGAAGGAAGGAAGGAAGGAAGGAAGAAAAGAAAGAAAGAAAGAAGGAAAGAAATGAAAGAGCGAAGGAAAGAGGAAGAGAAAGAGGGGGAGAGAACAGGAATCTTGCTCTATTGCCCAGGCTAGAATGTAGTCTAAAAAATGGGTATTAAAAACCTCTTTTATACCAATAAATGCTTAACAGTGGAGACAGGAAGGAAAAGGGGAGGAAAATAACAAACAAGCAGCCAACCAGTATCTCATTTAAACCTGTGAAATGCTATGCAATTGCTGAGGAGTGATTTACTTCCAATTTTGTGGTCACTTTTAGAATAGGTGTGATGTGATACTGAGAAAAATGTATGTTTTGTGTATTTGGGGTGGAGAGTTCTGTAAATGTTTATTAAGTTTACTTATTCCAGCTCTGAGTTCAAGTCCTGGATATCCTTGTTAATTTTCTGTCTCATTCATCTGTCTAATATTGACAATGTAGTGTTAAAGTCTCCCACTATTTTTATGAGGGAGTCTAAGTCTCTTTGTAAGTCATTAAGAACTTGCCTTATATATCTGGGTGCTCCTGTATTGGGTCCATATATATTTAGGATCATTAGCTCTTCTTGTTGCATTGATCCTTTTACCATTATGTAATGTCCTTCTTTGTCTCTTTTGGTCTTTGTTGCTTTAATATCTATTTTATCAGAGCTGAGAATTGCAACTCCTGCTTTTTTTTTTTTTTTTTTCTCTCCATTTGGTTGGTAAATCTTCCTCCATCCCTTTGTTTTGAGTCTTTGTGTATCCTTGCATTTGAGATGAGTCAGGATGCAGCATACCGATGGGTTTTGGCCTTTTATCCAATTTGGCTGTCTGTGTCTTTTGATTGGGGCATTTAGTCCATTTAAATTTAGGATTGATATTGATATATATGAGTTTAATACTGCCATTTAATGCTAGCTGGCTGTTTTGCCCATTAGTTGATGTAACTTCTTCATTATGGTGATGCTCTTTACCTTTTGGTATGTTTTTGGAATAGCTGATACTGATTGTTCCTTTCTATGTGTAATCCTTCTTTCAGAAGCTCTTGTAAAACAGGCCTGGTGGTGATGAAATCTCTCAGTACTTGCTTGTTCGCAAAAAATTTTATTTTTCCTTCACTTATGAAGTTTAGTTTGGCTGGATATGAAATTCTGGGTTGAAAGTTCTTTTCTTTAAGAATGTTGAATATTGGCCCCCACTCTCTTCTGGCTTGTAGGGTTTCTGCTGAGAGATCTGCTGTGAGTCTGATAGGCTTCCCTTTGTGGGTAACCTGACCTTTCTCTCTGGCTGCCCTTAGTATTTTCTCCTTCATTTCAACCATGATGAATCTAACGATTATGTGCCTTGGGGTTGCTCTTCTTGAGGAATATCTTTATGGTGTTCTCTGAATTACCTGGAGTTGAGTATTGTCCTGTCTTGCTAGGTTGGGAAAGTTTTCCTGGATAATATCCTGAAGAATATTTTCCAGCTTGGATTCATTCTCTTCATCACATTCAGGTACACCTATTAAACGTAAATTAGGTCTTTTTCACATAGTCCCATATTTCTTGGAGATTTTGCTCATTCTTTTTTAGCCTTTTTTCTCTAAACTTGTCTTCTCATTTTATTTCATCAAGTTGGTCTCGACCTCTGATATCCTTTCTTCTGCTTGATCAATTCGACTGTTAAAACTTGTGCATACTTCGTGAAGTTCTCGTATTGTTTTTCAGCTCTATTAATTCACTTATATTCCTCTCTAAATGATCTATTTCGTTAGC